ATCTCCTTTCCCTACTCTGGGCCCTGCGACTGGTGCCAGATGGGCTCAGAGGTCAGTGAGGTCCCCAGTGGAGGCCTGAGCTCCGGAGTTGTCCTGTCTGTGGCTGTGTGATGTAATATTTTTACAGATAAACCTGGAAACATGAAATGTTTTAAAACATAGTCCACTTCAGCGTGAAATTCAAATGTTGGGCATTGACAGTGCTGACTTTGGAGCAGGAGGGAATCGCAGTGCTTCCTGTTCAGTCTCCCCAGTTATTGTTAGGGAGGAGGTACTTACATTTTGATTTGGGGAAGGGCGAGCTGCTGGAATGGAACCCACGGCCTTATACCTGCTAGGACAGTGCCCTACCACCACTGAGCCACAATAGCAGGTGGCTTTTTTCCAACCTTGTTTTGTATTTTTCCCCTGAAAGATTTTAAACAAGAGTCAAGTGTAGTGGTTCATGCCTGTAATCCCAGCACTCTGGGAGGCTGAGGCAGGAGGATCATAAACTCAAGGGCAGTTTGGGTTACTCAGCCAGACCCTATCTCAAATTTTAAAAAAATGTGTGTGTGGGGGGGTGGAGGATAGTGTAGCTCGGTGCAAAGGTTGGGGTTTAGTTCCCAGTACCATCAAAAAAAATTTTTTTTTGTCTTTTTGAGACAGAGTTTCAATGTGCAGTTCAGGCTGGCCTTGCACTCATGCTGTGGCTCAGGGTGGTCTAGAATTTGCAGCAATCCTCCTGCCTCAGCCTCCTAAGTGCTGGGATTATGGGCCTTTGCCGCTATACCTGGCTCCTGTTTAAAATCTTTCAGGGGAAAAAAACAAAACAAGGTCGGAAAAAATATTTTAAACAGAAAAAGATAAGGTCCAATATATGGTGCAGGAAGATGACGGTTTTCCTCCGGGGAGAGCAGACCCGGGCAGTGGACCTGGCTAGCAGAGGGCAGCAGTTAGGAGCGGCGGCAGGAGAGAATCTGAGCAGGCGGGCCTGGGGCAGAGAAGTGGGTGGCTGTGGGATTCAGGGCCAAGGAAAAGGGGCAGCACAGGAGGAGGCGGGGAAACAGATGTGCAGAGGCGGAGGGGAAACCAAGAGAGGGAGACAGAAACTCAGGGAAGGGGCGCCGGTCATATGGGTGATGGTGGAGCCAGGCACAGCGCTCATGCCTGTAATCATGCCAGCACTCAGGAGGCTGAGGCAGGAGGATCACCTCAAGTTCAAGACAAGCCTGGGCTACATACTGTGTTTGAGGCCAGCATGAATTACATAGTAAGATTCTGTACAAAATGAAACAAAAAAAAATTGCATTGTGGTGATGGTTTTTATACCAATGGTTCTAAGGAGTAGTTTTGCCTCCTATGACAGTCTGGCAATGTCTGGCGACACTTGGGCTTGTCACAGCTGGGGCACTATGGGCATCTGGGTGGCAAAGGTGAGGATGCTGTTAAATACCCTGTAACTCAATGACAGCCCCTCTCTCCTCACAAAGAACTACCTAGCCAGAATGTCAGCAGTGGCAGGAAGGGAAATCCCTGGGTGACATAACACAGCACATGGAAGACAGATCCATGGACTATGGTAGTAACAGTCCAGCATGGGCCAAGCACTGTTGAAAGCATGTTTAGAAAGCAATCAGGGAGGGTGGCATCTGGCTATAATCTCAGCTACTCAGGAGGCTGGGGCAGGAAGATCCCAAGTTCCATGCCAGTCTGGGCAATTTGCTGAGATCCTGTCTCAAAATGAAATAAATAAATAAATAAATAAAAAGAGTAGAGGAGAACACAGCATAAAACAAACAGCTCTTAAATACCTGTGTCAACAAGAAGACAAACAAACTGGATGAGCACGCCTGTAATTGCAGCACTCAGGAGGCTGAGGCAGGAGGATCACTGCAAGAGTTCGAGACCAGCCTGGGCTACAAAATAAGCTCAAGGATGGCCTGAATCATACAGTGAAATGCTGTCTCAAAACAACAATGAAAAAGAAAAAAAAAAATGGAGAACACAAACAAAAATTAAAGCAAAATAAAACCAATACAATTTATTAATTTTTTTGAGATGGCATCTTGCTATGTAGCCCAGGCTGGCCTTGAACTCACAGCAATCCTCCTGCCTCAGCCTCAGCCACCTGAGTCGCTGGAATCATAGACATGGGCCACCACACCAGGTAGCTTCTCCCTCTTTAGCAGTCCTGCCATCGCCACCCAGAACCTGTGACGCTTATTTGGAAACAGCGTCTGCAAATTAGAGTCTCAAAATGAGATGGTTGTGGGTTGTTTATAACTTTACCATAATTCTTGGCCCTAGGAATGGAACACAGGGCAAACATTCTGCCACTGAACTGTACCCCTGGGGTCGCCCTGGGCTGTAAGGGTGTCTGGTGTCTCATAGGAAGAGTAGACACAGAGGAGAATTCACAGGAAGACAGAGGGTGGCCTGGTCACCCCCACACAAGCAATCCGGAACCATGGGCAGCAAGCAGCTGGTCCTCCGCAGCCTTCTCCGGCACACACTCCAACTTTCAGGCCAGCCTTGATCTAACTACCCAGCCCAGGTTGGCCTCCAATTTGAGGAGATTCTCTTGCCTCAGCCTCCGGAGTGGGATTACAGGTGTGCACCATCACACCCAGCAGGAGCTTCCTCTCAATAAACCGCTTCTACTTTTTTTTTGGTACGGGGGATCGAACTCACAACCGTGGGCTCCATTCTGCCCACTGAGGAGGCCCCGGGCAGGAAGAGGCCTGTGAAACTCGCCCTGCCTTCTTTCATTCCCTGGAAAGGATTTGAAAGTTCTGGCTCTGTTTCACATTCAGTACTTTTCAACCACTCAGCAAAATTGAGGATAAGCTGCCAGTTTTAAATTATTATCCCAAATTCTTGCCCTTGGGAGGCTGAGGCAGGAGGACTGAGTTCATCCTGGCCTGGGTAACACAGCAACTGGGGGAGATTTGGTATCAAGATGAAAAAGGCCTGGGGGTGTAGCTCAGCGGGAAGGCCTTGGTTTCGGCCACAGCACCACCCTGGGGAAAGAACCAGATTCCCTGGAGACAGCTGTTCTCTAGCTGCTGAGAGAGGCAGCCGGGAGCACCATGCAGCAATCGGTCAGGAGTCAGGGAAGGCCGCGCTTGCGCATTTAAATGGAGAGAAATGAAGAGATACCCTTTGCACTTGACCAGTGCGTGGATTTTTATGGCCTGTTTATAACCTTGCCAACTCAGGTGGTCTTTTAAATCATGAAAGGTAAGTAATGGCTATTCGGTAAGCAGGATGGATTACCTTACCAGGGTTAAATAGTTCTATTTAAAAATCAATTGAAATAAAAAAGAAAATAAACTAAAAAAATAAAAACATAGCAGTCACAGGGCAATTGAAACCAACAGTTGAGTTGTAAATAAATTATGCCATGTGTTTAGGCCATCCTGATTTTCTTTTTCTCTTTTGAGACAGGGTCTTTTTAGGTAGCCTAGGCTGGCCTCAAACTCTCAGTGATCTTCCTGACTCGGCCTCCCAAGGGCTGGGATTATAGTTGTGTGCCATCGCACCAAGCTTCTTGGTGGTTTTAACTGCCTTTTTACTGGCTTTTAGCTACGTTATATTTTCATGTTGGCAGGTAGAGGTAGTTCAGAGGTACACCACTTACTTAGCAAGCTGAAAGACCTGGGATCACAACCAGGGACAAAACAAAACACAAACAAAGCTTTTGTGCTTTATTCAGTATTATTATAGCAGCTTTCTTGAGGTATAATTCACATAGTATATAATTTACTCATTTAAATTGTACAATTCAGTACTTCTTAGTATATTCACAGAATTGGGCAACATTCCCATAGAATATTTTTTGAATTTTTAAAAAAAATCATCCACAGGGGCTGGGGATTTAGCTCAGCAGTATAAGCGCCTGCCTTGCAAGCAGGCAGTCGTGAGTTCGATCCCTGGTACCGATAAAAAGGAAAAAGACAAAAAAAAAAAAAATCCATAAAGAAATCCAACCTAGAGAGTGAGGTCTTTTGTTATTACATAGTAACTCTCTTTATGGATTTTTTTCTACATTCTATGATCTATTATATCCCTATTTAAGAGATTAACTACATTCTTTTAAAAAGGATATTTTTGTTTATCCATTTATATTTAGTGTGATAAATGATACATTTAGATTTATTTCCACTATAGATTTTGTGCTTCCTATTTTTAGTTTTTTTAAAAATCAGATTATAGAAATTGGAGTCTGCTATTTGGCTGAGATCAAGTGTTGAACTGGTTTTGTATTTTTTCAAACGCTGTTTCTTAAATGTCTGAGATGGTCCTACTGGATTCATTTAACTGTTAGGGTAGTGGATGAACTGATCAATTTCTCTAATGTGAAGTCACCGTTGTCTTCCTGAAACAAACTGAATTTGTTCTTGACTTTAAAAAAAATACTGTAAAATGACTGTGCAGGCTGGAACTGAGCAAAGCACTTTTAATGTATGGAAAAAAATTATTATTTTTCTATATCTTTAAAATGTTTTTGTTAAAATGATATATGGATAATTTAGGATCTCCAAATAATCCAAATAAGGAAAATATAATTCCCAATCTGGAAGATGTCTGATATACTGAGTTTGCATTCCCCAAAATCAAAGAATTAATTCTTTTTTTTCTTTTCTTTTTTGTCTTTTTGAGACAAGGTCTTACTCTGCAGTTCAGGTTGGCCTTGAGCTCACTTTGTAGCCCAGGTTAGTCTTGAACTTGCAAGGATCCTTCTGCCTCAACCTCCCAAGAGATGGGATTACAAGCAGCACGTACCACCATGCCCAGCTAAAGAATAAATTGTAAAACCAGGCATGGTGGCACACTCCTGTAATCCCAGGACTGGAGAGGCTGAGGCAGAAGGATCCTTGTGAGTTTGAGGCCAGCCTGGACTACAAAGTGGGTCCAAGGCCAGCCAGAACCACATAGTAAGACCCTGTCTCAAAAAGACAAGAAATAAACAACAACAAAACAAACAAACAACCCAATAAATTCTAAGGGCCGTGGATTTATAGCTCAGCGGCAAAGCAGCTGCCTGGCAAGTGTGAGGTCATGAGTTTGAGCTCCAGTACCAAAAAAAAAGGAGAGAGAATAAGTTCTAAGGAATAACGGAGGTTAAGAGCAGAAAATATTTATTGGAGTAAACAAAGTTTCTAAGAGATACAGAAGGGTCCCAAGTGGTTTGCTGGATAGCCTGCCTCTCAAGGCAGAATTTTATAGAGCAAAACCATGATCAAGGCGGGTCTAAGGTGGAACAAAACTATAATCAACCAATAAGATTGCAAGCATAGGCATTTAGGTAACATTGATCCAATGGGAAGTCGCAAGGTAGGCAGAAGGCGGGGCAGAACTATGGTCAACCAATAAGATGACGAGTATACTGCAGATACTGTTGATCAAAGGGGAGGGGAGGGGAAGAGCAAAGGAAGAGAAAGGTGGAAACTACTGTCAATTTCTTAATTATCTTATCTTGAACTCTTGCATTGTTTACACAATTTTATTAGGTTTGGCTTTGTTCTGTTGTTAGATTTTATGCTTTCATTTGGTAGGGGCAGCTATTTTGAATATATTGGGAAATATGGTAATCATGGTTTCCTATTACATTGTTTTGAAGTCTTATAATGCTTTCATTCATTTGTCTGATTTTATTTTGTTTTGTTTTGATTTTATTATGTGAGAAGGTGTGAACACTATTTTGAAGAAAACAAGATATTATGGTAGCTATTGCTGATTTACTATCATGTTGTTTTAAAGTCCTACCATGCTTTTGTTCTTCGATTGGTTCTATCCTGTTGTGTTTTATTTGATTGTATTATGTATGATGTTATAGACAAATTTTTTGAGGAAAATGAGGTATTATAGCAGGCACTGTTCCTCTCCTATTTTTGCTTTTGAAGTCCTGTAATGCTTTCATTTTTTTTTTTTAATCGGTACCAGGGATTGAATTCACGACTGCCTGCTTGCAGGGCAGGCGCTTATGCCTCTGAGCTAAATCCCCAGCCCAATGCTTTCATTCTTTTGAATTTTTTTTTTTACTATATGGTTATGTTTGATATTATTGTGTGTGAAGGTGAAAGTATGCTCAACTATTTCAAAGAAAAAAACATGTTAGCTACTGTTGATGTCTAGTTGTTTTGTTGTGAAGTGCTGTGTTGCTTGCATTTTCCTGTTCTGATTTGCTTTGTTTCATTTTCTTTTCTTCTCTTTAAAATAAAAAAAATAGATAGAACTGTGGGGGATTGGCGGTAGCTGAAAAGATAAGAAGTATGAAACATAAATGATCTTTATTTTGAGAATGAGGGGAGAGACACCCCCGATTCCCTGGGGCACGGCATCTCTCCCCCCGGGGTTGGCAATCTCTCCATGGAACACGTGGAGAGGGGGCATATAAGTAGCCTAGGTTTGGGGTGGAACCTAAGGGGGCATTAGTGATGCACAGGTAGCCCATTGGTGTTCTTTTGGTGCCATAGGTAAATTCCTAGGGGTGGGGAAGATGGAGCTCCTTGGTTCCACCTGAGGCTTTACCAGCTACAGTGTCCTGTCTGGGCCCAAACTCTTTCATATCCCATCTTATGATTATTATTATAAAAAGGGGCAAAGATTTCTCTCTTTACTGCTTCCTGCTGTAAAGGGGTGCTGTGCTGGGGTCTAGGGGAGTCGATGGGATGACGGTTGATGCCCAGGTAGAAGCTGGTGCCAGGTGTTTTAGCCAGGACAACTTTGCTAGTGAATGCATGTATGTTAGACTGGAAAAACAAAGAGACAAGATATTATGAAGAGGCATGGCACTGTCATATTTAAGGACCCAGGTGAGGTAGAAGGGGAGGTGCCTTTGATTTAGACATGTCATTATATCAGGACCACGTTGAGGCAGAATTATTGCCACAGTAAGGTAGAATTGTGAAAAATAAATGTGGGGTTAGGAGGAGTGAAGTTATAAGAGGTGATTACTCCCCCATCTGAAAGGGTAAAAGTTAAGAGCGTAAGGCTTGTCTCTGGTATGTATGATGTGGGAGTCTTTAGGAAATACTGTTAAGAGTCCTGCTGTAAAAAGAATAAGAAATTAGAAACCAAATTGGATAACAAAACATAACAGCCTGAGAGTTGTGAGGCCTTGGTGAAATGGAGATGAGTAGGCAAAAGGATGGTTAGATCTAGGGCTGGAAGGGCACCACTTAGCCTGAGTGATGTGAGACCAGGATGGCAGTCTAGCAACTTCGATCACTCTTGAGGTTGCCAAGAATATCAGGTATGGGTCGCTGTAACCTGGTTGTAGTTCTTGGAATGATTTGTTGTAACAGAACTTTAGCAAGTATATCAGCAGTCTCCCTGGTTGTGTGAAAGGCTTTTATGAATCCTGAAAAAGTATAAACAAAGGTGAGAAGACAAAATTTATCTGCCAGTCTTGACCAGGGTTGTCTGAGAAATTGGTGAATAAGAAAAAGGGGGCCTGGTTTATATATCACTGAGGAGAGGTTTACTAGCAATAACAGGTGTAAGCTGTTGAGGCCTCAGTGTCTGGGTCAGCCTGTAAACACAAGGGAATAAGAAGCTTTTTTTTTTTTTTTTTTTTTTTTTGTCTTTTTCCTTTTTATCGGTACCAGGGATCGAACTCACGACTGCCTGCTTGCAAGGCAGGTGCTTATGCCGCTGAGCTAAATCCCCAGCCCCCTAAAAAGCATTTTTAAGATTTAGGACTATAGAGTGAGTGGTGGAGGGAAGATTTTGCACCACTGGGTGGATTGGGAAGAAGCAGTTTAGAACCTGTATGAAATAGGGCCTGTTTGTAAATGGCATAGGTTGACCTTTAATACCTTTTTTTTTGTCTTTTTCAGTTTTTATCAGTACCAGGGATTGAACTCACGACTGCCTGCTTGCAAGGCAGGCGCTTATGCCACTGAGCTAAATCCCCAGCCCTGTGTTTTTATCTTTTTTTTTTTGTCTTTTTCGATTTTTATCGGTACCAGGGATTGAACTCACAACTGCCTGCTTGCAAGGCAGGCGCTGTTGACCTTTAATACCCCCAGAGGTTGAGGACTTACTATTCCAGCCTGAAAACTCAGGAAGAACTCTGTACATATTGCCTCTATGTCCACAAGTGTAGAGAATGTCTTACCTGAGACTTTTAGTGGGACTTGGACTCTGCGACAGACACCCATAAAGGGGGCTGTTGTTGGCCCTGAGCCCCGTTGGTCTTTAGCAGCAAGTTTAAGCAGATCTGTTGGCGATGAATCTGGCAGTGTTGGCATTTCCTGTGAGGGCTAGAAGTTAGGATGGCTTACCCACTCTCTGGTGACTAGGACAGTCCAGTAGCCCTGGGGTAAGGTCTCAAAGGAACACCAGGATGGGGCACTCTCTTGCCCAATGTCTTCTGCTGCATTTGAGGCATGGTCCTTGGGAGGGGGGCCCAGGCAGCTCCACCTTGTGTTGGTTTACCTGTCTCATAACTCCAAGTGTCACAAGTGTTATTTCTGTTGTTGAAAATATGAAAAGCCATATTAAGAAGGTCTCTGTGGAGTTTGAAGGTCAAGTTTTGCCTTTTTGTTTGGGATTTGGACTACAGTAGAAGGTATCTGTAGAATTAAGTAAGTATGCAGGAGTTAAATATAATCAACAGGGTATTTATAACTTTAGTAATGGCTTCTCATAAGGAGGACAGGTCCAGAGAATTTTAGGAACTGACCTGTTATAAGAGATACTTATATATATATATATATTTTTTTTTGTCTTTTTCCTTTTTATCGGTACCGGGGATCGAACTCATGACTGCCTGCTTGCAAGGCAGGCGCTTACGCCACTGAGCTAAACCTCCAGCCCCGAGAGATACTTATATTTATATAAAAGTATCTCTTTATGTTATTAAAATGTCTAATGCCATCTGATTTTTGGAGGATGGCCTGTTTAATTAATTTTTACCGTTTTATTTAAGAGAGAAGTCAGCTATGCTGTTATTTAATATCAGTTGAATATAGTTAATTATGGCTCGGTGGAGGGCTGAGCTAGGGCAGGCAGATAAGCTGGGAAAGGTTTAAGTTTGGCTTCTGCCGCAGTGTTGGTTTTGCTGTTTTGCATATATCATATAACCCTTGTTTTGGAAAAGAGGTAGTGGTTCCCAGCAAAAGGAATTTATAATTATTTTTTAAGATCGGTGAGAATATAGTATAATATAGGCAGTAAGCTCAACATAGAACACCACTGGTGGCTCACAGCAAAAGGAATCCACAAATACCTCCCAATTTTAGTTGTTAAACAGGAGATTGGTGACAACACAGTACAACATAGGCAGTAAGTCCAACACAGAATACCACCTGTGGTCCACAGCAAAAGGAATTCACAAACACCTCCCAACCCTAGCTTCCAAACAGGAAATTACTGAAGGCTTTAATTGATAAACAAGGCTGGTAAAATTACCAGATGGCCACTGTCCAATTTATCAGCCAAAGTCTTGTCTATTGCCGGCTTATTTAACCTTGATTAAATGGTTTGAGAATACAAAAAAAATAGCATCTTTGAGTTGAGCCACCGAACTGCTGTTTATGTGTTTGTGTTCTGGCGCGCCCAGTGTGGGGGCGGGGCACACAGATTGAAGGTGGGGCGAGCACTGGGACGTAGCACATGGGGTAGGCTGTGACTGCCCCCGAAATGCGTGCAAGGCAGCGGTGGCCATGGTGGCAGTGGTGTTGGTGGCGCATGGGGGGTGGGGCTGGGAGGCGGAGTTGGGATGCAGCATGAAGCTGGGACCTTACACGCTGGTGCACCAATGTGGAGTTGAGCCGCCATGTGGAGCTGGAGCTGCTCTCGGGGTGCACGGATTAGGGTGCGGTGTTAGAGCCCAACCCGCACAGACCTGGAGTGCCGCATGAAAGCCAAGATACCGCGCAGAGTTGGTGCGCGGAGTGCAAGCTTAAAGCAGCCCCGTGCATATCTCAACACTATTTGGGCTCGTTTTTCTCATCTTGGCAGGGAATGGGTCCATGTGAGGTGGTGGGGAGGGGAAGCAGGGAAGAAAGAAGACCCTGAGAAAGCTCTGAAAGGCTGCAAGGAAAGATGTTATTATCTCTTTAAGTGTGGGGAGGGGGAGGGATCCTGGAGGTGTGGGAAATTCCCAAAACAAAGGCTTAAAGATAGAGAGTTTTGTAAACTTGTCATCAGTGTGATAAGCCATAGATAGGTATGTTTTTTTGTGGGGGGGGGGACAGGAAGTGGTCCCCAAGATAAAATCTGGTGTGGGGTCTGGCCCACGGAGTTATAGCCAGATGAGGCAATGGACTGTGGCCTACTAAGTTTAAAGTCGTCACTTTTTACTCTAGACCAATCAGTATTATATGGTCCCAAAACTCGTAATAATTGGCCGTCACCAATATATGAGTGGATTTCACGTGGGTTTAGTAACAGCTCTGCCTGTGAGAACTTAAAAAGCTCTGAAGGACATGAGAGTCTCCCAGTGTGGACACAGGTTGGCCCAGAAAGACTCTGCCTTGGGCTATCTAAGGATGTGAGAGTGTCACGTGAACCCATGGAAGAGGGGAGAAAACCTGCCTGGGGCCTGGCCCAGGGACAATCTCCAGGGGTTGCTCACCTGTGGTAAATTGGGTCGGTGTTGTTTGCCAGCCAGCAGCAACAAGTTTACAGCTTCTGAGTGTAGAAGTGAGGAGTTAATGCAGGATGTAGTCTGATCCTGGTCCTGAATGGCAGGGGACTCAAACTGGGAAAGCCCCAGGAGTCTTTCATCTACCGTTCCCAGTCAGGGAACCATATGATAGAACTGTGGGGAACCAGCGGCAGCTGAAAAGATAAGATGTATGAAATATAAATGACCTTTATTTTGAGAATACGGGGATCCCCTGGGGCATGGCATCTCCCCCCCCCCCCCCCGGGGTTGGCGATCTCTCTGTGGAACACGTGGTGTGGAGGCATATAAGTAGCCTAGGTTTGGGGTAGAACCTAAGGGGCATTAGTGATGCACAGGTAGCCCATTGGTATTCTTTTGGTGCCATAGGTGAATTCCTAGGGGTGGGGGAGATGGAGCTCCTTGGTTCTGCCTGAGGCTTTTCTGGCTACATTGTCCCATCTGGGCCAAAACTCTTTCAGGGACCAGGAAGAGAGAATCCAGATTGCCTTTCTCATGAGCCACTTAGATCATTTGGGGCCCAGGACTAAAGAGGTCAGTGGGCTGTTCCCATGAGTCAGCAGAGGCCATACCGGCTCTGGAAGAGCACATCAAGAGGCTAGTTTGACCTTCCTGTAAGTGGAGCAAACCAGGCAGGGCCCAGGGAGAGAAGCCAGATTGAAGCCAGATCCATTCCCTCAACCCACTGGTGGGTACACTGGGAATCAAGACTCCCCACCCCCCAACCCAAGCAGCGGGCTGGTTCGGAGGACAGACAATTGACAGCAACTGAGGTACAAAAACAGCTAAAGCTTGTATTGTTTGGCTGCAGGCCTGAGGTCAGTAGTATCTATTAGGAAGATAACAGTATTCAACTTGGCAATATGGGGATTTCCTTCTGTCTTGTTTCTGAAACCCCACATTACTCTCACTGTTTTATTTTATTCCATTTTATTGTTTTGTTTGATTCAATGCTCTGTTTTGACTAGTTTTATTGTTTTGTTATATTCAATTTTACTGTCTGAGGAGATGGATAACTACTGTGAGGATAAGATATATTGTGGCAGCCATTGTCGATGACCTATTGTGCTGTTTGGAAATTATGCACCACTTTCACTGCTTTGTCTTGATTGGCTTTATTCTGTTTTGTATTGTTGGGTTTTATTCTCCTTAAAAAAAAAAAAAAGAAAAGAAAAAGAAAGGGAGTGAGGTGGGTGTAGTGGTACAGGCCAGCACTTGGGAGGCTGAGGTAGGAGGGATGCTCGTGAGTTGAAGGCCAGCCTGAACAGCACAGTGAGACCCTGCCTCGAGAGAGACTGAGAGAGAAAGAGAGAGAGAAAGGAAATAGAGCTGAGTATCTAGCGCATGAGTAATGCCTTGAGTTCAACTCCAAGCACCAGAAAGTCTCCTTCTCCAGCACCTCTTGGCAAAAAGAAACAACATGTCATTAGCAGCCACGCCATTCCCCCCTGGCTCTCTCCAGCTCTAGCAGCTTCTACTCTTCTTTCTGTCCCCTTTGGATTCTCCTGTTGTGGATATTTCACATAACTGGAATTACATAGTCCATGACCTTCGGGTCTGGATTCCCTCACTTAACCTGATGTTTTCAAGATTCATTCCCCACGTAGCCTGTGTCAGCCTTGTATTCCTTTTCTGGCCAAATAACATCCCATCATGTGGTTGAGGATATACAGTTCATTCCTTTGTTCATTAGACAATGAATGTTCCATGTCTGGTTATTATGCACAAGGCCCTGAAGACATGAGCATGGAAGTTTCTCTGCAGGCATATTATTTCATATATCCTGGAGAGCAGAATCCTTGTGCCACAGGTCTTGCAGGACTGGCCTGCAACTCATCACGGAGCCCACGATGGCCTCCAACTCCTCCACCCAATCATCCTGCCTCAGCCTCCCAAGCGCTGGAATTACAGATGTGCAACTCTAACTTGCCACCTCAGTGGGACATGCCTTGTGGTTTTTGAAGAACTGCCAATGTTTACAAAGCAGATTTTAGTAGGTTGCAGTGGTATCCGAGGTTTCAACTTGCATTTCCCTGATGGCTAATGAGATTAAGCATCTTCTCATGGGCTCATTTATTAACTCTTGAGGCCCACTAAGGGAGAATTATGGGTCTGTATCAGCAGCAAGTTTCTCCTGAATTTGTGTCTAGATTGTTGGAAGAATCCTCTTTTATGATGAAGCCCAGTGGCACTCACACGGTGAACAAAAAGGGTTCCTGTGAATGTTTTTCAAGAATGGCCCTGGGGTCCACCCTGGACAAGAAATTTAGTTTAAGCAAAACTTGCAGCAAGAAAAATGAAGTGAACCGACAGCTTAAGGAAGAGGCCTGTTGGGTCTGAGTCTAACACACAGTTCTCCTATGCAGCGCTGTAGAAAAAAATACAAGCCAGTGCTGGGTCTTCACAAAGAGCCCACTGACATCGTCGAACACCTACAATTTCCAGTACCGGTTGAGTCGGAAGGGAGAGAAAGAAAACCGGGCCTCAATTCAACCCAGCTGGAGAAACCCAGCTCTTAATTACACTCTCGTTTCTCTAAACCGGAAGTCAATTCGGAGGGGTCCTCCGAGGAGGGGGCGCCGTTTCGGGGGAGAGAAACTGAGGCCCTGCTCTGAGCGCTGGTAACAAAAGCCAGCAAACCAACCGCTTGTTCAAACTCACCACGACCCTGCAAGTCCTGCCTGCCCCGGAGAAACTGACCCCCGGCCATCAAGGCCAACTCTCTGCCGCTGCAGGTTCTTTGGGGACCGCGGGCTCCCACCGTGACCTCACTAAGACGGGCAGCTCAGGAAGGCGGCTCCTGTCACGCCCAAATCCGCACATCCAGCCTGGAAACCTAACAGTCCTCCGCTGCTATGGAGACTCCGCCCCCTACCGCAATTTCATTGGCTCTGATGACCAGCCCCTGATTGTCGGCTCCGGATTGGTCGGGTCGGCTGCCGTTCGGTCTTCTTCTCGGGGAGCGCGCGAGCGTGACCACGCCTCTTACGTCTGGACGCTCGGTGGCCTCGGGAGGCGCCGTAGTCGCCTCGGAGAAGGAAGGGGAGCAGCTGTGGAGGATCTGCTATGGTGCTGAGTTTCCCGGCAGAGCCGACCGAGTCGAGGCGGCCGTGGCCATGAAGGTGAGGACTGGTGGAGCCCCACAGGGCCTCCCTGCCTGTCCCGTCTCTCAGAGCGCCGGCTCGCCTCCCACCTCAGCGGTTACCCCGCTGACTCCGCGGAGGGGGCGCCGGCCGGCGTGCGGGTCCCCGCCTGGCCCTGAGCGGCGCAGCTGCTCCCCGGGACCCCGGCAGCTCCGCGACGCCATCCTCCAGCGAGCTGGGGAGGGGCGAGGCAGGGCTCCCCGCGCTCGTCCTGGGTGGGCCCGTTGTGCGTCGAGCTTTCCGCGCCTTTGCCGGGCTCGCCCGCTCACTCTGGGTGAGTCCTTGAACTCACCCAGGTGCCGGGAGCATCACGGGATCCACGGCGACCGGAGCACTCTTGGCGGGCAAGCGCCTATCTGGGGTGGGAGGACGGGAAGCGGTCGCGGCGGGCGGGGATCCACCCCGAGGGGTCCCGAAGGCTGAGCGTCTGGGCCGGAGCGAGCGCGCCGCGGGTCAGTGGGCTCTTCAAGGTGGAACCAGAGCTGGAGCGTCAGCTATAAGTTTTAAGACAAGAGGAAGGAGGGGAGACCCTGGCCTACTTTTAGCAGTGGTTCTCACAACTTGATCTGAGCACAGCAGTCCATTCACGTATCGATTCATTAGCTGAACTCGGACGGAGTGGAATGAGTCATAAATAAGGCGATGCTACTCTTACTGAGACGTCTTCATTAATGTCAACCAAGAAGTGTATTTGATGTGGCTGGATTCTCTTCATGGAGCATCCAGGATTCACTAGGGAAGATTGAAAAGGGAGTGGCAGGTGGTCAGAGGAATTCAGGTATTCGGCAGGGACAGCCCCCGTGGGTTAGCCGAGAGGGAGCCGCACAGGGCCGTAGAGATAAGTAAGAACCCAAGACTATCCTCCGGGAAGGAGTTTGCCAGTCAGAAGAAAGATATGCACAAGTTACAGACATTTCAAGGCAGATTCATACATCAACAAAATATAAAGCGCAAAACCTCAAGAGCAGGAAAAGTTACCTATTGGGGGAATATTTGCAGTAGATAACTTTTGACCTGTGTTTTGAAGCCTGAGGTGTTTGTAAAAATTTTTGTTGTGTTGTGTGGTGGCGCATGCTTGTAGTCCTAGGTCTTGGGAGGCTGAAGCAGGAGGATTGCTGTAAATTCGAGGCCCGACTAAGGTACACAATGAGTTCAAGATTAGTAGGAACTACTGAAAAAAGAAAAAAAAAAGAATTTTTCCTTGTTTGTTTTGTTTCTGTTTTTTGAGACAGGGTCTCTGTGTACTTCAGTCTGGCCTTGAATTTAGTTTGTAGCTCATGCTGGCCTTAAACTATAGATGATCATCTTTCAGCCTCCTGAATGCTGGGATTACAGGCACAAGCCATTGTGCCTGGCTGGAAGAACTTGTTTTTAGGTTTCTACTTTATTTATAAAATAGTTCAACTTAGAATAGCTGTTAATATATCTAGGAACTCACTTTGGCAGCACATATACTAAAATATCTAGTTGTAACTTTATTTTCTTGTTGTAACTTTATTTGGTTGAAATTAAGGTTTTGCTGTGTTAAGATCCAAAAAGAGAAAAAAAAAAAGCAGAAGTCTTCCTATATAGTACCCTAAAGAATGTCATTGGCCTTATTAGTGTTAAAATTTGTGATCCATCAAGGAAATAGATATGGAAGGAGAATTAGGCATTAGTCCAGTTTCGAGGTTTTTAAATAAGTTCTTTAAAAACAAGTATTTTTTGAAGTAAAGGATAGTGCTTTCTGTGTCAAAATTTTAGAGAAGAGTGTTCTTGCTCTGTAATTCAGGGTTGTCTTGAACTCATGGCAATACTCCCGTCTTAGCCTCCTGAGTCGTGGGATGGCAGGCATGTGCCACCAGGCCCAACTGAGAAGAAAAATGTATGGAGGATAAATATTTGCTTCTTTAGTTAGGGTCTCACTATATATAGTTCAGGTTGGACTTCAACTCACTGGCGCAGGCTGGCCTCAAACTCATGGTGATCCTTCTGCATCAACCTCCTGGAGTACTGGGGTGACAGGCATGTGCACCACCCTCAGTTAGAAGAGAACATGTTTTCCGAAACCAAATGTAAACCAGAATAGCCCCAGTTTATGCAAGATGATTTATGAATGCCACTTTCATTTGTGGTTTTATAAAACTGGATTCACAAAATTTAGGATTCGGGCAATTGTTTATTACTCAACCATGTTGATTTTTATTGACATTGTTTAATTGTGGGTATTCTTATCTATGGATACCTAGGTAAGGTAATTGATTCCTGAGGTTTGAGATTCTAATGTGAGTATCTGTATAAGCAAGGACTTCTTTGAATGAAATAAAAATTTAAGAGCCAAACAGATAAGAACATCTTTAAACCTATGAGCAGTTGATTTTAGTGCATGTGTGGAATAATGGGTATTTTCTTTAATTTTTTTTTTGTTGTTTAGATTTGACTTTTGGATGTTTATAATCTTGAATTCATCAAATTACTTTCCTATAGGGCCTGTTGTTTTTTTTTTTGTTGTTGTTGTTGTTTTTTTTGAGATAGAGTCTGGCTATGCCTGTCTTCTAAGTGCTAGTATTACAGGTGTGTGCCATCATGCCCAGTTTCTAATGATTTTTTCAAAAATTGCAAATTGGTGACCTGTATTAATTTGATTTAACCCTCTATCCTATTTTTTGTTTTCTTGTTTTTGTCTTTTTGAGACAAGATCTTGCTATGCAGTTCAGGCTAGCCTTGGGCTCACTTTGTAGCCCAGGCTAGTTTCAAATTTGTAAGGATCCCCCTGCCTCAACCTCCCAAATGATTACAGATGTGCACCTCTATGCCTGACTATGCTGTTTTTTTATGTTTATGTTGATCTCATTTTTAATTGTGCTGATCACATTCATTCTTCCAAACTCAAAATAAGATCAAGGGCAAGTAATCTTTAAGTACAATTTCTTTCTTTTTTTCCTCTGAAAGATACCGGGAGTGGTTTTATAAAAATGTAAAATTCTGGCAGAGGATTTAGCTCAGTAGCTCAAGCACTTGCCTGGTAACTACAAGGTTGTGAGTTCGATCCCTGGTACAAAAAAAGTCAAATTCTGGAAGGCTGAGGCTGAAGAATTGCATGTTTGAACCTAGCCTAGACAACTTAGCAAGATCTTGTCTCAAAACATAAAAAGATCTGGGAATGCAGCTCAGTGCAGGGGTGCTGGCTTCAATCCCCAGTACCATAACAAAACAAAAACCAACATGAAGGCAATATTTCTGCTGTAGCTGGGCATGGTGGTGCATGCCTGTCATTCCAGCACTCTGGAGGCTGAGGCAGGAGGACCTTGGGAAATTCAAAGCCAGCCTGGGCTAGATAGCAAGACTCTCAAAAAAAAAGAAAGAAAAGAAAGAAATTCTGCAGTGTAGTGTGCGTTATAGTAAAATTTTATTTATTTGATCAATGTCTTGCCTAAAAATAATTACATTTTAAAGGTAAACATCTGTTTGCCTGTATAGAATTTCTTCCTTTGTTGACTCTTTGATCAAGAAAAACGCAAGTTCTCTGCATACTGTATTTTGTTTGAAGCGGGAGTTATAGTAAGAAATCGTTTCCCATTTAAATGATTGTATCTTATGTCTAAAGAGGGGGAAGATTTTGCTTATTTATCTCAGGGATTCAGGCTGAGTTTAACCTAACTGAGGTTTAGACCACAAGAAATATTCTTTTATATCAGGTGCTAAGTAAGGTATGAAGCTCCTTTTTCCTTTAACACAAAGGGTAAATGCCCTTGGAGTAAGCCGCCCTTGATGTACTGCCATGATCAGATGACATGTCAAGACCAGGTAGTTGGCTGCAGAGACAAAATCATGTTCTTTGGTTTTTTTTTTTTTTTTTTTGTCTTTTTCATTTTTACTGGTACCGGGGATCAAACTCACAACCGCCTGCTTGTAAGGCAGGTACTTATGCCGCTGAGCTAAATCCCCAACCCCATGTTCTTTGTTTTGAGACAGAGTTTTGCTATGCAGTTGAGGCTGCCTTTGGACTTGAGGTGATCCTCCTGCCTCAGCCTCCATCTTTGATGATTGGCACAAAGGAGAAATCAAGGCTCAGCAGGTCTTGACCTTTGAACCTTGGTCACATATGTATCAGAATCACCTGGAAGAAAGAAAAAAAAACAAAAACAAAAACAAAAAAAACCTGCTCAGGCTGCATCCCAGACCAGCAGTCAGGCACTCAAGGCCCAGGCATCTGAATTTTAAAGCTGCACCGAGTCCTGGTTGGCCCAGGTGCTGCCTTAGCAAGAGGCAGCATTAGCAGCTACTGGTGTACAGGACGGAACTGCCCTTTGCAGCCCTGGGGAGTACAGGTCACTGAAGAAGCCACTGTCCTCTCAACAGCTGGGTCAGGAGATGAGGCAGAGTGGGGATGTGGACACGACCCAGTCTGAACAGGCCAGTGGAGTAGGGGAAGGTCCTTCCAGCAAGCCTGGCCCTGGCTCCTTCAGCTCAGGGGCTGAGACAGGGATGCCAGGAGCTTGGAGCTGTGGTCAGGGTGTTCTTGGGGAGACTGACTTCTTAGCGACAGTTTTGTCCGAACTTGGTGGCCTCATGGGTCCTTTAACTGCTGGTGTTTCTTGTGCCCTTTGCTCACAGCAATAATGGGGTCCACATTGTGGTTGGGGTTAGAGCTGCAGAGTTTTGGCTGGGACGCTTTGAGAGTCTATGTGGGCTATTTTTGTTTTGTTTTAAAAATTTTTTATGTGGGCCGGGGGTTTAGCTCAGTGGTATAAGCTCCTGCCTGGCAAGCAAGAGGTTATGAATTCAGTCCTTGGTACCAAAAAAAAAAAAGTATGAGATGGTTGAGAGTGGACAGTTGTCATTTCCCTTCTGGGGTGCAGAGGAAATTCCTGCATCCCCGAGGAAGTAGGAAGGAGTTACAGTTGCTCCCCTATAGTCACAACACATAGGAGAGGCTCCACCTGGCTTCCCAAAATAGACCCTTGCATCCCCTTCCCAGAGCAGTATAGCATAAAGAAACACATTACCAGGGTAAATAGTTTTCACAGGTGACTTATTAACACGGTTTATGTGTTCTTAATTCATAAAACTGTCACCAATAGGAAAGGCAAAATGTGTCTTTATAAAGTGATTTTCTTTTTTTTTTGGTACAGGAGGTTGAACCCACAACCTTGCCCTTGCCAGGCAGGCGCTTGTGCTCCTGAGCTAAATCCTCAGCCCGCTTTTGTTTTTTTTTAGTTCATCTGGCCTTGAACTCGCTGTGGAGCCCAGGGTGGCCTGGAACTCATGGTGATCCTCGTGCCTCTGCCTCCCAAGTGCCAGGCACAGAGAGAGGGCAAAAATGGTGTCTCCTTGGGGTTTTTTTCTTTTTTTTTGGTTTTTGGTTTTTCGCCACAGGGCCTCACTATGTTCAGGCTGATCCTGAACTCACTGTGGAGGCCAAACTGGCCTTGAACTGGCAGTGATCCTCTTGCTTCAGCCTCCCACTGAGTCTCCAGACTCAGCGCTGGAATTACAGGTGTGTACCACCATGCCTGACAAAAATCACTGCTTACAAAGGAATGTCATTGAGATTTTCGATCTGCTAGGTCAGAGCTTCCACCTTAGTTATTCTTTTTTTTTTTTTAAACTTTTTATTGGTACCAGGGATTGAACTCATGACCGCTTGCTTGCAAGGCAGGTGCTTATGCCGCTGAGTTAAATCCCCAGCCCCACCTTAGTTATTCTTTATACAATGAAAGCCTTCTTAGTAGCCTGCAAAGTTTAGCTGCCACTGCATTGCTGTGAAGACAGCCTGCTGGGGTTGTCAGCTACGGGGTGGGGCTAGGGGGATGGAAGCAGGTGCTGTTCGGGACCTCTGACTCCCTGAGGAGACGGCACCTGCATCAGAGGAGGGCTGGGCGCCTGGCTAGTGGCTGACAAGGGGGAAACTGAGGCTGATCTGAGTGTCTACACCTCTGCAGTGCATCTCCCACCCTCCCCTCGATATGCATTTCTTTTTCTTTTTCTTTTTTTTGTTATTGGGAATCAAACTTATAACCTTGCACTTGCCAGGCAGGCACCTGTGCTGCTGAGCTAAATCACTGGTTCCTAAAATGAAATTTTTTCGCCAGGGTCTTGCTATGCATTTCAGGCTGGCCTCCAACTTATGGTGATCCTCTTGCTTCCGCCTCCCAAGTGCTGAGATTACAGGCATGCGCCATCACGCCCAGCTTCCTAGCTGTTCTTGAGACAAAGCCTTGCTAAATCACTGAGTTGCCCAGGTTGGGTTTGAACTTGCGATCGTTCTGCATCAGCCTCCTAGAAGCTGAGATTACAAGCATTCCCCTATAATCTGTGCCTGATTATACAGATGTTCTTAAAAGGACAGTCACTGTACTAGTATATCTGCTTCTTCATGCTTTTGTTTACACTAGCTATAGCCCTCGGTCCAAGGTAGGGACTGATCATTGTGCCTGACTTTAAAAGGCAGTTACAGAGGATGAAGCCATGTAGTACTCAAATCAGTGACGGTGGGTTGCAGGCCAGGGTGAACCTCCTGTGTTTCTTCCTGCACTGCCTTCTCCTTTCCTATGCTTAATGTACATTAGGACCTGGAGTAGCCGCAGGAGTGGCCTCAGTCCTAGCAGCATGCCAGGTTGCACACTGAAGTGTGGGTATTTTCTGTTTCTTTTTTAAGGAGCTTTTTGGACAGTAAATGACTGACAAAAAGGAAACTGTTATTACATGCTGCCATTTTAACTGATACTACCTACCACACTATCTAGAGTCTAGACTATGCCTAGGAATTAGGCCAGGGTAAAATCTGGTGCTAACCCTTTCACTTAAAACACAGGAAGTTGCATGTGCAAGACCCCCACAGAAAAGAAGATGGGGCGCTGCAGGGCAGCATTGCAACAGCCCCAGCGGTTCCTGTGAAGAACTGTCTCCCCCAAAGTGGCCCGGGTAGTAGCCTTTCTCCTTGGGCTCCTCAGGAAGGCTCCCAACCTGCAGATAATTCTTTAGTGTTTTCGAGTCTGTACTTTCTAGTCGTTAGTGGTATGCCAGCTTCTGGCATATAACAAATTCTTAGTCCCATCGTGTTGTGATTTTTTTGTTTTGTCTTGAGGCAGGGTCTTGCTGTGTAGTCAGGGAAGACTGTAAATTTCAGATCCTCCTACCTCAGTCTCACAAGTGCTGGGATCACAGACATGAGCCGCCATGCCTGGCTGCTATAGTGTTTTCAGTTTGAGGAGAGAGAGTGCTATTTTAAATACTCTCCATAATGTCAAGTTACTGTATTCTTAAAAGAATTTGGAAAGAACAGAAAAGCTAAAGAAAATTACAGAAGATACATTAAAATCTAGAGAGATTGGGTTGACATTTTGATGCTTCTGAACTGTTGGTCTTTTTTTGTGGTGCTGGGTTTGAACCCGGGGCCTCCCTGATGCTGAGTAGGTGCTGTACCGAGTTCCATGCCCAGCCCTTCTTAGTTGCTTTTTTTTTTTAATAATAATAATAAAATATTTATGCTATATTATACTTAGCTACAAATGAGAGAATGGAGGATGAATGACATTAATATGCATTGGTGTTCTTTCTCCTAAATAACAGGTGGGAAAGTCAGCCTCAGTCCGTTGATAGCTGGTGTCTAATCCAGTAGCCACCAGCTGAGGCTACTGGCGAAAATGCCAGGTGTGGAGAACTTTATTCCAGATGCCCAGGACCTGAGAACTTCAGATAAAAATGAATGACTGTTTTTGAGTATGAATAGATTTCTGACATTACAAAAGGTAGATTTTTCCTTCAGAATTCGGACCACATCGTATCTTTTAACAAGGCATCACGAGCATCTACAATGCCAAGCATTTGTTTGAAATACCAGAAATTTATCTTTCCACACAGCTTGAAATGTTGGTCCCTAAAGCAGTACAGGCTCTGTCTTCCCAAAAACTAGAAGTGCTGCAGTTTTTGGAGTTTGTCGAATTTGGAATATTTGCATGGACTTTGCCTATAGGGCATCTAAATTTGAAACCCAAAACCCAAAAGGCTCCAAACCCTGCACCTTTTGAACGTCCGTCCAGTCATGATTGCGGCTTTTGGGCTAGAGATGCTTACTCTGTGGCTGAAGTGGCCGAAGGTGATGTCCCCTCCAGTAGACCCCTGGGGTCTCTACTTCACACATGGGCTTTGTTTCCTTGCAGGCGGGTGCCACGTCGATGTGGGCGTCGTGCTGCGGGCTGCTGAATGAAGTCATGGGCACTGGTGCTGTGAGGGGCCAGCAGTCAGGGTTCCCAGGAGGCGCTGGGCCGTTCCGGTTCACGCCAAACTCAGACTTTTCTGCCTACCCAGCAGCAGCCACGGATGGGCCTAATGTAGTCTGCAAAGCCTGTGGCCTCTCATTCTCAGTCTTTCGAAAGAAGGTGAGTTGGGTGAAGTGTTACATACCAAAGATTTTTTTTGGACCTGGGGCTCAAACTCAGGACCTCGCATTTGCCAGGCAGGCGCTTATGCAGTTGAGCTGACCCCCAGCCCACATACCAAAGATTTGGGTGGGAATTCTTTGAATAGGGGAGAGGTGATCCTTTTGGTTTGGTTTAGTTGGATTTTGTTGAGAGAGGATCTCACTTTATTCAGACGGACCCTGAACATGCAGCGATCCTCCTGCCTCAGCTTCTGGAACCCTCTGATTATAGGCATCAGGCACCATACCTGGCCTCTTTTTGTTTAAATATGGAGAGTGTTCACAGAGGAACAGGCCAGGAAGAAGGCTGCGGGTGTGCTTCCTGCTCGCTCCATATGGCTCAAGTCAGCTCTGCTGTACTAATTACATGTTTGTGGTGAGGGGCGGAAAGGCTTTAATTCATTAACACAGGGTGTATGTTTTTCCTAAGGGGCTGCATTTGAACTGTGAGTCCCAGCTGTTGTGCAGAGACTCTGGTGATTTTCACAGCCTTGGGGACACTGACATGTCTGTACAAATAGGCTGGTGTCACAGGATTTGGCAGGCACCAAAATGGAAATTTTAGTAGAAACAGGCAAAAAGAAAATGGGGCTTTCTGCCCAACCTGAGCACCCCATACTGAGTGGCATCTCTTGTCCCCCATAGCATGTGTGCTGTGATTGCAAGCAGGACTTCTGTTCCGTGTGCTCGGTCTCCCACGAGAACCTCCGCCGCTGCTGCACCTGCCACCTGCTGCGCGAGACGGCCTTCCAGCGGCCGCAGCTCATGCGCCTCAAGGTGAAGGACCTGCGGCGGTACCTGGCCCTGCGGGGCGTCCCCACCGACACCTGCCGTGAGAAGGAAGACCTGGTGGACCTGGTGCTGTGCCACCATGGACTGGACTCCGAGGATGACCTGGACTCCAGCAGCCTCAACTCTTCCCGCTCCCAGGCGTCCAGCTTTTTCACAGAGTCCCTGTTCGCCCCCTACACGGCCTCCTCAGCTACCACGGCCTCCTTCCTGGGGGAGCTCTCGGGCAGAGGTTGCCCCTCCAGGGCCGGAGCCCTGGCGCAGGTAGGAGGGCCTGCTCACAGCTGCGTGCGGGGCTCGCACGTGCGCTGTCAACGCCTGAGGTCTGGGTTGGCTGTGGTGACCCGTTTTCCCAGCTTCCAGAATTAGACAGCAGCCGTGGAAGTGATGCTGTGGAAGCAGCATGTGCACACTGGCTGCTCGGTGGCTCTAGCTTGGGCGCAAGCTCCAGAGCCTGCTCCTTGCTGTAGGGAACTACTCCAGTGCAGGTGACGAAAGGTCAGAAAACGTGCATATTTTTCAGTACTGTGTTGTAGTGTAAAGGCTGAATTGTTTTGAACACTTTTCTCCCTGGAAGAAAGATGTTATTAAAAGCAGAGAAAGGACCAGGGATATATCTCAGTGGCACAGCACCTGCCTGGCAAGCACAAGGTTGTGAGTTTGATCCCCAGTACCAATAAAAAAATTCCAAGTACTTCTAAATTAGAAAAGCCCAAGTCATGAGTCTTATTTGGTCACATAACTGGCCCAATTCTGATAGACTTGAGACACCTCTGACTTCATACCTCTTCTGGATGGAAGGCATCATTTGAGGCATGGGGAATTGGATGATGCATCTTGGTGTTTATGAATCAGAAGAGTGCAATGTTTGAAATTGGAAACTGACCCAGACAGTTGCAGAGCTATAGTCTAAATAGAGCCTATAAAAATGCATATAACCCAAATCGAAGGGACTTCTGTTTTTCCTAAAAGAAAGAATACTTCTATTGCGGAATTTTTATTTATTTATTTATTTTTGAACAGGGTCTTGACATGCAGTCTAGGCTGGTCTTGAACTCACTGTACAGCCCAGGCTGGCCTTGAGAGCCTGCAGTGATCCTCTTGCCTCGGCTTCCCGAGTGCTGCGATTACAGGCACATGCTGCTGAGCTCAGCTTCTGTAGAGACATTTTTAGCTCTAGAAACAGCATCACCACCAGCTTTCCTCAGAAGGTGTGCTCTGATGGGATGCTCTTCACACTTGCATCAAGCCCAGGCAGAGTTCAGCTCTTTTCTGCCCCGCAGCACTCCAGTTAGGCCGCCACTTTTAGCTCCTCCGATGCCATCGAGGGAGCCATGCTCTGGTGATGACAGCGCGTGGGTCCTCACCCCAGGGCTTTGGGGCTCTCAGATCCAGGGGTGCGGTAGGCTGGACATTGGGTCATTCTCCAGCAGGTGGGCGAGCTTCCCCCTTGAGGGGCGGAGGCTCCTTACCTAACCAGATACACTGTATCCACAGGCCCAGAGTGAGGTGGCCTCTGCAGACACGGAAGATGAGGAGGACGAAGAGGATGAAGACGACGAGGAGGAAGAAGAGGAGGACGAGGACGAGGACGAGGATGAGGATGAAGAGAACTTGGAGGAGCAGGTGAGGCCGCAGAGTCTGGGTGCCCGGATCGCTGTGGCAGGAGGGAGGCGAGATGCCTGTGGGGCCTCTCTGGTCAGCTCAGGCTGCAGCTCCAGCTGGGCTGGGGTGCATTCGGGCCCAACCCCAGGACGTGACGGTGGCTGCTCTGCTTGCAGACACCGGGGCTCTCCAGGAAGCGGGGCCGAGCCTCACTGTCCGACCTGTCCAGCCTGGAGGAGGTGGAGGGCATGAGTGTGCGCCAGCTCAAGGAGGTCCTGACAAGGAACTTCGTCAGCTACTCTGGCTGCTGCGAGAAGTGGGAGCTGGTGGAGAAGGTCAGCCGGCTGTACAAGGAGAACGAGGAGAACCAGAAGTCATGTAGGTGTCCCCTGTTGGCGCTGCTGCCGTCAGGCAGATTGTTTTCCAGACACTGTGTGGCTTTCAGTGAGGACGAAGCCTGCTCACAGAGGCGCGGACCAGTAGGTTCGCTCTGTGGCATTGCCTGGGGTGGGGGAGCACTCGTCCGCCTGCCTGCCTTGGAAAGCGTCAGTGTCTGGGTAGGCTGTCTTCTTGAGTCACGGCTTGAAAGCTCACTGGGGCAAAATGCACTGCAGATGCCTAGGCTCAGTCCACGGCCTTGGGAGTTAGCTCAGAGCTCAGGTTGAAAACTTCCAGGCTATTTATTAAGTGTTGCCTAGAATCCTTCCTCCTCACAGGCCAGGGGACAGAGTTTCTCTGGGTGTTCAGACTTGAGAAACCTGATGTCTTATCTATTTAAAAATAGATTTGTTTTTATTAAAAATCTATTTAAAATATTTATTTTTATTAAAAATCTATTTAAAAATAGATTAAAAATCTCAAGATGGGTGTGATGGTGCATATCTGTAATCCCAGCACTTAGGAGGCTGAGGCAGGAGGATCACTGTGATCAAGGCTGGTCTGGGCTCCATAGTAAGTTTGAGTTCAGCTTGAACTAAGCAGTGAGATTGTCTCAAAACAAAACAAAAATTTTCTCATCAACTCTTTATCTTGGAAATTTTTTCTTTCAAGCCAGTTGTAACAGTTTTTGATGAGCAGGCTTCTGGCCTCTTAGAATAGGCAGCAACAGCCTGGCACACCTGCCTTCAGGATGCTGCAGCAGCAAAGGTGTGGGAGGCCTGGGGATGAGCATCCTAGCAGCAAGTGCACCACAGTTCACACACTGCAGCTCCCACCCTCGAGGCTCCTGTGTGGAGGCCATGTGTGTGGTTTCCTGTGTCGCTTTTGCTCTCGGCCTGGTCTGTCTCTGGTTTGGAGGGAAGCGCTCTGTCCACTGTGCCAGGGCTGCCCCACCTCTTGATGGGCTTCTCAGGGCTGTCTGCTCCACAGCAGTGGTGGGGAGCATCCACCAAGGCGCAGACTCCCGACAGGCCTGTCCCGACACAAACCGGCCAGCCCTTCGGGCTGCAGTTCTCTGTTTTTTGTACCTACATTCAGGATCCCCCTGGTCCCCTCTGAATGCAGAGGGGGCCCCTAGCCATACCACCCTGAACGAGCCCGACCTCATCTGAGTGTAGGAGGGAGGCCATTCAGGCCCCTGGGTTAGGGCCAGAGCTGGACAGGGCAGCCCACCTACTTAGCGCCGCCACATCCGGGGCCTGATTCTGCCTTTGCGCCTGCCCTGAGTGTCCTGGCCCCAGGAGCCTGGGGCTCACGCGTCTTTATTCTGGGCGCAGCCTCAGCACAGACATCTTAAATGACAGTGAGATGTGGCATGCAAGAAGCTGACATTGCTTAGGTGCCTCTCAGCTGCCCCACCAGTGCTTCTCTTCCTATCCAGTGTGAGGGACCATGTCTTTTGTGACACGGGAATACCATACCCTCGGTGTGCAGACAGCCACCACGGGGCAGGTAACCCCAGCTCTCCTTTGCCTTTCCAGACAGCGAGCGGCTGCAGCTGCAGGACGAGGAGGATGACAGCCTGTGCCGTATCTGCATGGATGCTGTCATCGACTGTGTCCTGCTCGAGTGCGGACACATGGTTACCTGCACCAAGTGCGGCAAGCGCATGAGCGAGTGTCCCATCTGCCGGCAGTACGTGGTGCGCGCTGTGCACGTGTTCAAGTCCTGAGGCCACGCACCCCATGGGACCCAGATATCTTGATGCACAGAGTGACGGGAAAGTCACTGTTGAAAGGCAGAAGCTATTTTTAAAAGTTATTTTCATTACTAATGGGGACAGACAAGTTCGTCCTAAGCCGAAGGCACACCGGTCCGTGCCATCAGCCTGTGGACACAGCCCACTTCCACTGGGCTCACTTGTCCCAGGAGCACTGACTGCAGAAGTCGGGCTGGTGACCACAGGGGGTGACCTGTCAGCTGACCCTTCTCCCATGTGGACCCTCTGTGGGCACTGGGCGCGTGAGCTTACGGACAGACACGGCGGCCTCCGACATTCCCTTTATTAGTCATGTGTATTTTAAAGGCTAACACTTGATGAATGTAACTTTCCACATCGTGGCTATTTCTGCATTTCAGCCTACTTGGGAATGGATGTTCTGTAGTCAACTGCCAGGGCCTTAGACTAAACATGCCCATTTCTGTTCAGGTACAGCTTTTTATAGCAAGGGCTGCCTCCGGCTTCTGACGTTACAAGAGTGCGTGCTGTGTTAACGTATGATTAGTTTACAGTTTTGTAGGGTGAAGGTGTATTTTTCGTGCTACCTGCTAGCTGGTTTCAACTTTAGAAATAAAATCAGATGTAAAAAAAATGCTTTACTTCACACTGGCTCTGCCAGCTCCTGTAGCTTGTGTGTAGTAGGAACCTGTGTGCGCCTGGCTTGGGGCCCTCAGATCCCTTCCCAGCAGCGGTGTAAGGTCAGCTACTGATCGGCTGTTTCCTGTGACCCGGGATTGGTGGGGCAGTCCTGGGGCCTGAGCACAGGGCTGTCACACTTACCTACAGATGCCCATTTGGCTTTAAACATTTCAGACAGGCCATCTCTTAAGGACCTAAGTTGCCCAGGCTGAGCTTGAACTTAAGATCCTCTTGCCTCAGCTTCCCAGAGTGCTGGAGGTTACAAGCCTGTACCACCAGGCCTGGGTGATTGTTGTGCTTGGTTCTGTAGTTCTCTCCAGAGGGATGCAGGGGGAAGCCAGCCTCTGTGAAGTTCCAGGACTCATTTAAAGCCTTACCTCTAAAGAGACTGCACCAGCACCAGGGCCAGGTGGCACACGGACACACACAGCTCAGGTTCTGCCTTCCCAAGTGACTGCATCACAACCTGAGCCTCGCTCTGCTGCGCTGGAATACACGTCAGAGGAGCAGCTTGCGACATTAGCTCATGTAGAAAGGCCCTGCCATTTCTGTATGTCCAGCTTGGGGCAGGGTGGCTTTTAGTTGAGCACAAATGAATCCACTGGTAGTGGGCAGAGAGGATTTTAGGAGATGGCTGACTTGGGCAAATCACCAGTTGTCTTCTGACTACGTAGTAACACACACTTAACGTGCACTGTGATTAGAATAAACTAGTCAAGCTGGGCATGGCAGTGCACACCTGTAATCCCAGCACTTGGGAGGCTGAGGGGAAAAAGATTCAGCTAGTCAATTGATGGACACCAAAGCAGCTGTATACTCAGGCAGACAGCTTACCCTTGTATGTGGGGCAGAAAGTCTGGCTAATGTGGAGCAAACATGTTTTCTTGCCTTTGCTCAATTTTCAGTCCACACATGTAAATCACAGCTGTCTTTGAGTGTCTGGCTGGTCTTGCTGCCACCCTGGGAGCTGGGGCTGAGTCTGGCTGCTGTAGCCAGTGGTGCCGGCCCACGCTGCTGGATTTTTCCTTTGGGAGGCTTCTCTAAGAAAACACGTGAATAACATTCCCCAAGTCCTTAACTTTGTAATAGGAAGTCTTACATTCAGGCCAGCGGGTGCAGCAAACATTTAAATATAAGTGAGGCTGCAGGTGTTGAAAGTTAAATTTAAAATTTCAGATTGATTTATGCAGTCTGGCTCCAAGGCAGCTTGGCTACCAGTTCCTTTGGATTTTCAAATCATATCTTAGGTCTTCCTTCCTAGCCAGAGTAAAAAAGCTAAGCCCATGGACCCTAACACTGGCTTACAGTTGCCCACCCTACTTTTGTCTTTGAGACAGGGTCTCCTTATGCAGTTCAGGTTGGCCTTTTATTCACTTTGTAGCCCAGGCTGGTCTCAAACTCAAAGCACTCCTGCTGCCTCAGCCTCCCTAGTGGTGGGATTATAGGCATGCACCACCATGCCCAGTTCCACCTACTTTTCTACTGTAAACCTGTACTTTAGTATACTGATAGCCACCTGTGCCTCTCAGTAGCTGTGCCTAAAAAATACGGGAAGAGCAATTTTTCAGTCTTTGCTTTTAGCAGACTGGCAAGGTATGTGCAAAAGCATCAAGCTGGGATTTTTACCCACGTAATGCTCCAACAGGTTTTGCATATATTTACCTGAGTATCACTGGGGTAAAATACACCCACCGAAACATGTATTTTACCATAAATGGAATGTGTATGTGACTCTCTCTGAGCCTGGGGAAAGCAAAGGCTCATCTGTGCATTTACCCAGTTGGCAGATGGATGGCAAGTTGTGTCAGGAGATCCAAAGTAGCAGCAGGTGAGTTTTACCCATGAAATGCACATTGCTGAATAAATTTCTGTGCATTTAGGATCTGTTTTTTATAAAAGTTTTCTCTTGATTTTTCTGGTAGAAGTAGCCCAATTCAGTATAATGATACATGAACAACCAGATTTGCAAGTTTTGGAGGAGGTAAAGAACGAATCATCAGATAGCTCATTCATGCATGGATGGTGAAGATGACTGACACTGGCCACGTGAGCCAGAGTTCCTTAACAGTGAACTGGAGCAAGAACCACCTGGTACAGACACACGGAACCGAAGTCTGATTCACATGACAAAGAAAACAGCAACGTGAGTACATACCTGACTAGTAGAAATGGTAGAGTGGTCACACAACCAGTGTTGGAACTATGTCTGAAAATACAGTGAGGACCTTGGCAGAGGTGAAACCTACTAGATGGAATGCCAGCACTGCTTTCGGTGTTGAAAACTGTAACCAGACAGAATGCTACAGATGTAAAATACATAAATGCTGAAATAGAAGTAAAACGTTCTGTATGCACCAATAGCTATACTCGAAAATTTATTCTGACACCTTACTAACTGAACTGAAAGCACTTATAGGTCTGCTGTACTTGGCAGGGCTTTCTCAGGGTAATCATAGGAATGTAAGACTTACAGAAGTGAAGGCTATGAGCTCGAGGTTTGCAGTGTAACCCTTGCTATTTGGTTTCCTTCCAAATTGACTGAGGTAGCTGAATATGATGGCCCATGCCTGTAATCCCAGCATTGAGGAGACTGAGTCAGGAGGTCTGCTTCGAGTCTGAGGCCAGCCTGGATTAATAGCAAACCCATCTCAAAAAAAAAAAGTCTTGAGGTTTGATGACAAAAACATGTGCCTAGAAAGAAAAAACCGATAATCTGGTTATCTGCTTCTGGTTTGAGAGATCTGTGTGTGCATCATTATTAAGAAATTTGTACTACATCTGAATACATGACTATTGATGGTCCTCTTGTAGCATTTCATGGTTGCTATAAGTTCAGGCAGTATATTTCCCAAAAACCTTCAAAATATGCCATAAAATTGTATGCCCTTGTAGAAGCAAAGACTTATTTTTTTTGGTCTTTTTGAGGGTCACACCATACAGCTGTCATGTGAGAAGGCTACCTTGGGTGTGACAGTTGAAGCAAAGATTATTTCTAGTAGATTTTTGTTTGTATTGACACTGTATATAGGTTTTAACTTCTGATGTTATCTTTCAGGTTTTGTAAGCAAGTACATGGCTGATGTGAAAATGTTTATTCTAAACATGCAACACATATTAAAAATTATTTTATTGCTACTTTATATTCCTGCTCCCTGTGCATTGGGTAGATAATAATCTCCTGACAAAGCAGCAAGACCAACAAGATGTCAAGTATGTTCTACGAAAAGGGCAGAAAAGAGAACACATGTGCTGTCAGTGAGTGTCAGTGACATGAGTGTGTGGCCCATGCTGCTGTTGTGTGTGGAGACTGTGTTAGGTGTGGTAATTGAAGATTTTTTTTTGTCGAGTGCTACTGGTATTTTCATTGTAGTTCCTATAGGAATTTGTTATTTTTTTTTTTTTTAGAGTTAGTACATTAAAGAAGTTGAAAATTTTGATATTTTATAAACAATAAATATTAAAAATTTAATACTTTATTTTTTGATTTTCTGTTAAGTACTCATTAATATAAAATTCATAAAATTAAAAATTCATCAATAGAAGTATTTTAAATAAACATGGGTAGTATGTACCCACAGTGACGCGCCTCTATGACAAGTTGGTGTTAGCCCAAAGTAATCCTGATTTAGTGAGGGCCAGCGTGGCTTCTAGAGCGACGGCTCGAAAAGGTACAGACGGCCTGTGGCATCTGTGAGTTCTCCAGCTGTGGGTTCTGCCAACGAGGACCGAAGTCACCCAAACAGTGGTGCCAGTCTGCTTACTGCTCCGCTTCCTTCCCTGAACTGTTGCTGCAGCATGTAGTCGTGGCAAGTGTTGTGTCACAGGTGGGATGCTGGGAAGCGGCCCAGAGAAGGGTGGGATGCAGCGTGGTGGCATAGAACTTGCCCGGCTCATCTGGGGGTCCTGGGTTTCATCCCAGTGCTGTGAAAAATATCCTCACACCTCAAAGGGTGCGCAGATGCAGTGCCACTTCAGAAAGGGACAAAACAGGGACTTAAGGATCCAAGGATTTTGCTGTCTGGGGCGTCCTAGAGGTGGCACCCACGGACACCGGGGACAAAGCCGACATGTTTGGCAGAGAGAGGGTGAACATCTCCACCGGAAGCTGCTGTTTGCTCACTGGTGCACGGTGCCTCTTTGTGTCCACTGTGCGAATCAAACTCAGAAGGTCCACAGTGGAATACAGGGACGTCACCTTGTCCCAGTCCTCATAATCAAAGTGTCATTTAAGGTATCAGTGTCTTCCTTTGCAGCCTCCGGTCTCCTGGTCCGGCTGCACCTGAAGCTCACTACACAAAAGGTCTGGAGAAACGGTCTTGCACTGCTGTTGCTGTGTGGCACTGCCAGGAGCACCAGCATGTGCCACCACGCCTGGCTACCACTTTAATAAGACTATTCTGCCTGCACGAGAAAGTGATGAGGGGCAAATACAGCAGCGGACAGTCATTGGGCTGAGGCTGTGTGCTGCCTCAGATTACAGAGAAAGGGGGCTGCTGGCTTCCCCTGCAGCAGTGTTTCCATAAGTACGTGGTGACAGGGCCCTGGCTAGAAAGTCTGTGATCTGAAATAACTTGTCCCTAGTTTCTGTGCCTGCCACCTGGAGAAGTCACCACAGAGCCTAGAGCCTTCTCACCCACCACAGCCCGGGCGCAGGTAGTCCCTGCAGGTGGCCCCTCATCTCCACACGTGGCCATCACGGTGGCACCAGGCAAATACCATGTCTGTCGCTCAGGCAGCTGTGTTTCTCAGGGGAAGAACAGTACTGTCCCGTCTCCGGATGGTGACACTTACCAGGGCTGGGCCTACCTGTAAGCCTCTAGTCCTCTCTACAACAAAAACCCCCAAAGACCAAGACAGCTTTTTTACACAATTGTTTATACAAATTTAACAAAGGTAAAACCACGTCGGGGAAGGTGTAGGAAATAACCACCAGAGACAATGGCACTTCAGGACGCAGAACTTCATGATAGCGACAGCCAGCTCATGAACCTAGATGAGAACTCAACTCGCTTCAAAGGAGAGAACCCGAGGGCAAGAGCCTCCGCGGGACGTGGTCACTGCTCTTCGGCTCACGGGAGCAGTGGGGTGGATGTGAAGTGGGAGTGCTCATGCTGGGGCAGCCCCTCCTGAGTGCAATGGCTGGAGTTTCAATGGTCAGATCGGAGGGAAAGGAGACTTTTCTATGGAAGGAACTTGGCAGCGAGTCTCAGGTGACTGGGACTCAGACCTATCCACAACATGCGCATGTGACTTCCTGAGTGCCGGGCCGGCCTCTGGCTAAGCATGCTTTTAAGCGGAGGCCTCAGCCGCGGCTCGGGGCTGGGCACACCTGGGTTGATGAAGTACAGGTTAAGTTCTCTCCTACTAGAAGGAAACCAGGAAGGTTGGCAATCTCAAAACAATAAAAACACTGGTATGCATTCAAACCTTGCATAAATAACTTTTAAACAATTTGTACAAAAATAGTTCTGCATAATGTAAGATGTAACAAAACCGAAAAATGTGTCAGGATGGCAGCGGATGTGGTGCGTGGTCCACAATATGTTGACACCCAAACCCTTGACTCTGCAAGGAACTAGGTATCCGAACAGAAACGCTTCCGGAGACCCTGCCGTCGAAGCCCTGTGCCAGTCCCTGCGAGCGGCCTCTGGAGACACCGCACATGGGGTCGCTCTGTCTTCTGCACCCCGAGCTCCAATGGCGGCAAAGCCCACGGCGGCCGAAGTTGTTCCTGCCCGCCGCCCTGCCCACCCCGTATTTACACTTGTCCTTGGACTAACTCAGTTTCTGCAGGAGCTTTTCTTCGACTTGCCCAAACTGGACGCTCACGGACATCTCAGCGATGAACTGTTCACAGCCCTCCTTGGTGACTTGCTTGCAGTACCTCAGGTCAATGTGACAGATGTTCCCACAGCGCTTGAAGAAGGACAGGCACTGGTCAGTGACTTTATTGCAGTCTGCGGAAGAGGAAATGACATGAGGGAGTCACCTGGGCCCGTGGCCCCGGCCCCAGCCCCAGCCCCAGCCCCAGGGACAGAGCTGTGAGCTTCTCCGGCACCCTGTGCCTCAGGAAGCTGTGCTGCTCAAGGGCGCCCTGGATGGGGACAGGTTCCAGCCAATGGCCTGAGCACTTGGGTGGCCCCAGCACACAGGTACCGTGCTCCATGGGATCCGCCCTCACTGAAAGGCCCAAGCACTGCACACTCAACTTACAAATGTGCAGCCAGGGAATACTCCTGTCCCTCCTGTCTCTCTGGGACTGGAAGGTCACCCATAGAAACCACGTCTGTCCACCTGTCGTCCAAGGAAGCGTGCTTGCCAAAAACATCTAACCTGCATCTAAGCCAGCCCTCGGCTCTCATCTGGAGCTCCCAGGGGAACTGTGACGTAGAACAAAATAAATGACACACAGCCAATGAACCAATTCTGGGTGGCCTGCAGGCTGGCTGTTCACTCAGGACTTGGGAACGGTGGCAGGAATGGACTCCAACTCAGGATGCTATCCATCCCCACCCCTTATCTGAGGGTGGCTGATGAAAGGGGAAAGGCCTGTTCAGTATGTGGCCCAGCTGTCACAGAGAATAGTGACAAATGGAATGGAAATACTAAGAGGATAAATGTATCTTAATTGTATCATGTTGCCCAAATCCCTGTCCTGTTTCTATTTAAAATGAATCACATATAGCTGAGCACAGTGGCATACCTGTGATCCTAGCACTCTGGGAGGCTGAGGCAGGAGAATCACAAGTTTGAGCCCAACCTGGGTAACTTACTGAGACTGGGGGAGTAACTCAGTGTAAGGTCCTGAGTTCAATCCCTAGCCACCCTCCCCCACAAAAAATCAAGTACTAAGTTACAGAGCGATGATTTTTCTGAAGAAACTGAACACTACCATTCTGTAACATCTTCGTCATTCAGCTTTTGCAATTAAGATTGACAACTTGAATGGGGTGGAATGGTGGATGCCTGGAGTATCAGCACTTGGGAGCCTCTAGTTGGAGGCCAGCCTTGGCTACACAGTGACAGCCCAGCTCAAAACAAAAAAGCTAACTCAGTCTTGGAATGGGAGAACACATGAGTTTGTCTTTTTTGTTGATTTTTGAGACAGGGTCTCACTATGCAGTTTAAGCTGGCCTCAAACTTGAGTGGCCCTCCTGTCTCAGCCTCTCAGGGCCCAACACAGGTTGTCTTTTGGTGAGCGTCCCAGCCTTCACTCTCACTGAAGGACAGAGGGACTCACTGCCATCTGCCCTGCACGCTGCAGGGCGCCCTGGCTCTGTGGCAGGTGTCCCTGTCCACGGCAGCTGTGCACAGGTGCGCACAGGTGTGCGGTGAAGTGGGACAGGAGTGGTACAGGCAGGGACACAGCACTCACTGAGGTGCCTCTAGCGGAGGGATACGTGAGTCCATTGTGCTGTTTTACACTTTTTCTGCCTGAAAATCTTCAAAATAGGGTATGAAGAACCTTTATGCACAGGGCTATGCTAAGTTCAAGAAAGGCGTTTTTCTCAGTCAGTGGGAGGACCAGAATTAGGAATTACAATCTCAAACAGTACAGTCCACAGTAAAGGTGAACGACTACCAGGTCATAAAATAAAAGTTCTAGAGAGATCAAAGCATTAAAAAGGAAAAGACATGGATGGTGAAGAAAAATAAATTACGTATTTGCAGATGACAGCACTGACACACACAACCACTGAGTACATTGCTGGCACTTTTATTTTGAGATGGTCTCCCTTATAAATTGCTCAGGCTATCTTGAACTTTTGATCCTCCTGCTTCAGCCTTCCAAGTAGCTAGGATTCCAGGCATGGGCCACCACCATGCAAGATGCGGCAGTGTTCTATACAGAAAACCCTGACTTCATCCTCAGCCAGGTGTGGTGCTGCAGCTCTGCAATCCTAGCATTCAGGAGGTTGATGCAGGTCTGCCTGGAGTTCACGTTAATAAATATCCTCGGGGATTTAGCTCAGCAGCATAAGAGCCTGCCTTGCAAGCAGGTGGTCATGAGTTCGATCCCTGATACCAATAAAAACCGAAAAAGACCCCCCCCCCAAAATCCTCAAAATGTCAGTAATAACCAGAAATCTACAGAGACAATGAAATTGCTATAAATTCCCCAATGCATTTTTTTTTTCTGCATAACTAAAAAATCCATCTAAAAATTCAGAAAACTGCAGTGGACCTTAACTTGCCTAAGCAGTCCTGAAAAAAGCAGAAAAGAAAACTGAAGTTGAACACTTACTTCATCTCAGAATTTACTACAAAACAATGTGGTACTAGTATATGGACACATGCAAACCAATGGGATAGAACTGAAAGTCCTCAAATAAACCCTTTGAGGACAGCCTGGTGTTGCCTCTAATCCTAGCCCCTGGGAGACTGAGGCAGGAGGATCACACCAAGTTCAACGGCCAGCCTGAGCTACATAGCAAGTAGCTACAACCCTCCAAAAATTGCCAAGGGTGTTGATATCACTGAATAGATAGGTCTTTACACCAAAGATGATGGATAAATGGGTATTTATGTGCTAAAGAATAAAAACAGACCCCTACCACACACTGTGTACAAAAATTAACAAAAAATGATTCAAAACTTATAACCAGAAAACTCAAAATGACACGTAAATTTATTTTGCCTTTTTGCAGTTCAGGCTGGCCTTGTGCTGACTTTGTACCCCAGGCTGGTCTTGAACTTGCAAGGATCACCACCATACCCGGCTGAATTTTTTGTTTTTTTTTTTTGGTCTTGGGTCTCTTAAAATTTTGTTTTGAGGAAAGGTCTCATGTTATAGTTCGGGCTTGTGCTTAATTCTCAGGCTCCCAAATGCTCAGATCAAGGCATGCAGCAGCATACCTGGCTCAACAAAATTTATTTTTGTCTTTTTGAGACAAGGTCTCACTATGCGCAGCTCAAGCTGGCCTCGAACTCACGTTGTAGCACAGCCTGGCCTCAAACTTGCAGCACCCCTGCTTCCACCCCGAGTGCTAGTATGACAGGCATGTAACCACCACTCCAGCCTTAAACAAACTTTGTAACTTTTAAAAAATGTTAGCTTTTGAGCTGAGCACACTTGTAATTCTAGCTTTTTGGTAGGCTGAGGCAAGATCTTGAGCTTAAGCCTGGCTAACCAATTTAACACCTTAACGAGACAACAGTGGGGCTGGAGTGGTTCCATGCAATGGCCCAAGGTTTAATGCCCAGTACAATAAACAAAGATGTTTCAAAAAAACAGGTGTTGGCCAGGAGGTGAATAAACTGGAACGCTTACATACTGCTGGTGGGAATGTAAAATGGTTCTGCTATTACAGAAAATGGCTTTGTGTTTTCTCAGAAACAGAACAGAATTACTATATGATCTAGCAGTTTCACTTCCAGCTATACACTGTGGTCAGAATTTACTTATTTGGTACCAGGAAATCGAACTCAGGACTGTGCACTTGCCAGGCAGGTGCTGTGCTACTGAGCTGTATCACTGGCCAGAAGAATTTAAAGTAGAAACCCACACAGCTAAGGTTACCCGTTCACAACGGCATCATTTTAAGCAGCCAACATGTGGAAGTAACTCAAGTGCCTACCAACAGAAGAACAAGTTAATAAGAAGGGCATGTATGTGCGAGAGTCATTCAGCCTGATAAAGGAAGGGGACACTACGACATGCCATGCATGGAGGAACCCTGAATCCAGCAGTCAGTCCTTAAAAGACCACACAGTCCCACTTTATACGAGGGCCTGTGAGGTAGCTACACCAGCCAAGAGAAAAGTGAGATCATCAGGGGCCACCAGGGAGGCGGGCAGAGGGAGTCACCTCTGTCGGGGGCAATGAAAACATTCTGAACTGGAATGTGATGATGTGCAACACTGAATGATTTGTGTCACTGAATTACATATGCAAAAGCTGCTAAACTGGTCAGTCTTATGTATTACTTATCTTTGCTACAATAAAATTTATTGGTAAAAAGGTTACTGCTAGAGCTGGGTGTGGTGGTGCACGCCTGTCATCCCAGCACTCAGGAAGCTGAGGCAGGAGGATCACTGCCAAGTTCAAAGCCATCCTACACGTCACAGTGGTTCAAGACCAGTCTGAACTGAACTACATAATGAGACCCTCAAAACAAAAGCAAAACCAAAATTATTGCTAGAGAAGACCTAAGAATTTAGACGTGAGGAAACTTAGCTCTGAAGTGGCTGAGTGGCAAGGAGAAGCAGATTTACTCTGCACTGCTTTCCCAGCAGCAATAGGAGCCAGAAGAAGGGCCGAGATGGTTAGGGAGAGGCCTGGCTAAAAGCTGCCCAGCACGCAGTGCAATGCCCGGTCTCCTCACAGAAGCCTGAGGCCTTGGTTTCTGATGGGGAAAGAGACGGTCTCTGGCCAAGAAGAGGGGAGCACCCCACTCCGAAGTAAGGGTTGGGGGAGACAAGCCTGCCCTGCGTCAGTGACACTCCAAGCATCCTCCTCCCTGGCCCCAGGACACCAGCAGCCAGCCCAGGGCGTGGACAGAGTGTGAAGAAGGCCTGCTGTGGTGCCCTTGCAGCATGGCAGACAGCGGCTCAGGACAGCTGCGGAGGAAGTATGCAGCTTGTGAGTTACAAACCCAAGCCGAACTCTCATCAGCAGAGCCACCACATCCGACTCTTGACCAAGGTAAACTGCAGTTCCCTGGGGCTCTACACAGCAGCAGGGGTGAAACTGTGAGAGCCGGATGATGACGGGAGAGAAACCTGCAGAAGACTGGCAGAAGAACAACGGGAAATAGGAGGGAAACAGAGAAGGCATCAGAAGACTAGTCCAGGGCCAGGGTGCAGCCGGCAAGCATGAGGTCCTCAGATTGGTTTCTAGTACAAAAAAACCAGACTGGTCCAAAAGTTAACAGACAAAACAATGAAAGGAACTGCCCGTGCTTCCAGACTGAGAGAGCATAACTGATAAAACTAGGCTCAAACTCCACCTGGGCATGGTCTCGCAAAGCTGTCATTTCAGCACGGGGAAGGATGGGGTGGACGGCGAGTTCAAGGCCAGCCTAGACTATAGAGTGAGAGCCCGTCTCAGAAGTAATAAAACAGAATAAGAAGAACATAGGCTCAAACCAAGGCTTAATCATCAAAAGCAGAGGCAAAAGACAACTACCAAAAAGTAGAGGTGTAGGGCCAGGGATTTAGCTCAGTGGCATAAGCGCCTGCCTGGCAAGCATGAGGCTGTGAGTTCAATCCCCAGTACCAAAGAAAAAGAAAAAGAAAAGAGCAGGGGTGCTGAGATGAAGGACCAGGCAGTCTGGGACTCTACCTCCAGATGTGGAAGACGGCAGACAGCCTGTCACCCTGAGACTGCAGGGCCCTGCTAGCACTCCCAACCGAGCTGCGGATGTCCTTTGCCAGTGAGTGTCAGGGACACTGTGGGACCAAGGAAGGGGCGAGGCAGACATGAGACTTCCCACGCAGTGGGAGCCGGGAGCAGCAAGTCCTGCACAAGCTGGCCATGGGGCTGTGAGCTCATGTGGGGGAAACAAAGTCCAGTTCTCTTGTACAGTTTGCTAAGCAAACAGAGACGAGGCAGCTGCTGACTCCAGCAAGCCCTGAACAGCTCAGGCGTGAAAGGAAACGCACTGCCATGGCTCGGCAGTCCCAGATCCTGTGTGCTTGTAACAAGTACAACTTAACCAGAAATGGTAACAATGGAGGGAGGGGAGGCAGGGACAAGAGGACACGACAGGGCTGGGATACGGCTCAGCGGCACGGCGCCCGCCTGTGTAAGCGTGAGGTCCAGAGTTCAATTTCTGGTACAAAAAAAACAAAACAAAACAAAACAAAACAAAAGAAACACAACCCTAGTTCTGTGCCCGCAACTTAGACATGCCTGAGGGGACATGTGGAAGGAAACACTGGAGAGTACTAGAGAGTTTTGAGAGGTGAGATCAGGGTGGCTGTAAAGGGCAAGGAGGCCTTGGCACCCCTTAAATATTTCTAGGGTGAAATTCAGCTTGAAGAGCAGCAGCTAGAATTGCAGCTTCGCTTGTGCCGAGACCAGATCCCCATCCACGTGTACAAAGCCTGAAACCGGTCAGGGGCCTTCTGTCTCGGGGCAGACTGCACCATTAACTCCACTGCGGATACTGAAGGGAGGGGAAGCCAACCAGAGCCACCGGTCAGGCAGGCAGGCCAACACTGGACACCTACACGCTTCACGGCTCTCTGCAAGGGTGCAGAGCTCTCAGAAGGCAGGAGAGGAAAGTGGACCCCACAGCGCCACATGGAGGGTGGCAGCTGCACCAGGGACAGAGAGGCTCTGCCAGCCTGAGGTCCCCTCGCCCTTCTCCAGAGGGCGTCTCTGTCGCAGTGCTAGCCCTGAGCCTCAAGGGGTGCTGGCATGAGAGAACCCCTTCACACAGTGCTTTCCTTCGCCCCTGCAGGATCAGCCCCTGCCATCACGAGGTTTCTCGGTCACAGCTGTGGGCTGCAATGACAGCAAATGGCTCAGGAACACGAGCTCAGTGAGGTGACCAGCACAGGAGGTACACGGGGCGCCCCTGATACTCAGTCGTTTTTCAAAAGGAAAAAAAGCAAAAAGGGAGAGATGCAAGGGTGTTTTCTCTCCCCTTTCACTTGGCCGAAACCCAACCACCTGACGCTGAGCACCGCTCTCTCGCCCCAGCTTGGCAAAGCACAGGCAGTGCCGCCTCTGCCTGGTCCTTCAGGTCAGCTCCTGCCCACAGCGGACAGAGAGGCGAGGATCCCGACGGGCTTTCTTGTCCTCTCCAACCACAGGCCCCTGACAGCAGGGTCACCAGGGGCACACAGGGATGCCCACATGGGCAGAGTGCCCTGCCTGCGTGGCCTGGCTCCCAGCATGCTCGGCCTGCAGCTCCTTGGCCTCAGCCCGCACTCACCGCTATCAGCGTTACTTTTGGTAGCGGTTACTACAATCTGCATGGAGCCACCTGCCTCTGGCCAGGCCGTCCTGGCCCCTGCCTGGTCCCGGGTGACCCTGGCACACAGAGCAGTGTGGGCAGACGCAGGGATCCACGCACCTGACAGGGTGATCTCCGTCAGGGAGTCCCGGGTGGTGGTGCCCACGGCGGTGAGCAGGTTGATGGACTGGTCAGTGACGTGGTTACAGTAACTGAGGTGCAGCTTGGAGAGCAGGGGCATGTGGCGGATGATCAGCCGCAGGGACGCATCCGTGATGTCTAGGCCCGCCAGGCGCAGCTCCATGATGTTCCGGAGCTTACTTCGATTGTCCATCTGACCTGGGGACAGGCAGGAGAGGGGTGACCACTGAGCTGACTGAACACTGAGGCGTAGGGATTCCATTTAGCTGTAAAATGCTCCCCCTGCATCTGAATTCTAACATCTAAAACCCACAAGAGTCCAGTCCAGAGTTAGATATCCAGATTCTCTAGGAAAGTCAGAGTCAGGAAAGCCTGACCCTCATTTTAACCTGCAGCAGTCAGCCACACCCTGAGCCTGCCCCAGCCCCATTCCCCTAGTGCCCAGGAGCCCTAAAGTTGGCAAGAACAAGGGGATAAGGTCATGCCCTGGGCGTCTACTCCCACAGCAGAGCCCCAGTGTATACAAAGGTGCCTCTGGCACCACCTGTGGCCCCACATGCCCAAAGACAGTTGGGGACAGGGTGTGGACTCCAGGGCATGCCCTGCGGAGCAGGGACTTGGGGGTGCAGGCACTGCCTGGGGTCAGCGACTCACCAGGCCTATTATCTGTGGGCGGTGACAAGAGATCCCGCATCTGGGCGTCCTTGAGCCCTTCTACCCACTGGACATCCAGGGTCCGGAGCAGTGGACAGTTGGAGCTGCAGAGCGCGGAGACCGCGATCCATGAGCAGCCCGCCAGCACCAAGTCTCGGAGCCCTGGGGGGACAGGTTTGGGTAGGGTCAGTGGGTGCTCAGCCCCCGCCCCTCACTTGAGGCCCTGGCTCGGGGCTCACCGGGCAGCCGGTTGATGAGCCAGCTCAGCTGCTTCTTGGAGATGTTGGTCCAGCTGAGGTCGAGGGAGACAGGCTGGCGCCGGATGATGCCGCTCAGCATCAGGGGCGTGATGGACTTGCAGTGGTTCAGGTCAATGCGGGTCCACAACCGCTTATCGCAGCACCTGGGTGGCCAGAGGGACGTCATGAGTGGTTGGGCATGGCGGGGAGCCCCTGCTCGGCTGTGATAGTACCCCTCACCTTCCAGCACCCACAATCCCACCAGGACTTCCTGTGAGCCTCACAACACTGCCAGGATGTCCCCCAGGAGGCAGGCACCTCACAGGGGGTCAGCAAGACACCAGGCTGGGGCTGGAGTCCAGCAGCCCTGAGTCCTGACCAGTCCTGACCACCTGGCTCCCAGGGAGCTATTCAAGGAGGGGGCAGGCAGGGCCACCACAGCTCTCTAGACTCGGCTGGCCACCTGCGTGCCCTGTGGCTCACAGGAATAGGCCACAAGGGGTGTCCTAAGCCAGGTGGGCCCTCACCAGCGGTTCCAGGTCCTGCAGACCCGCATGCACACACACAGGTCCCGGTGGCTGAGGTAGCTGAAGACGGCCATCCACACCTCCCTGTGCATGACGTGGGCTGCCCCATCGTCCAGGGGCAGTGAGTCGGGGGGAGGGCTGATGGGGGGCGGCCGGATCACGTGGCGCTCCATCTGGATGCACTTGGGCGGGGACGTGGCGGGTGGGGGCCGGGAGAGGACTCGGGGCGGGCTTCGCAGGCTGGGCCCCAGTGGCTGCCGCAACTCCCGGGGGGTGCCATTGAGCCCCTTGCTGAAGCGGTGGGGGCGCTCACAGAGGCCCAGCGGCCGGCGAGGCTCCTCATTCTCACTCTCGGGCTCCGACTTGATGGGCTGGTGGTTCTCATGGGCCAGGCTGCTCTCCGTCTTCTGGATCTCGTGGTTGAGCTCCTTGCTCAGCTCCTTGCTCAGCTCCTTGCTGGGGAGCCTCCGCTTGCGGCGTATCTTCACCTTCTTCTTCTCCTCCGAGCCCTCGGTGCCTTCGGTGCTGGGCCCCGCAGTGGGCGAGCTGGAGCGGGAGTGGTCACTGTCCCTGCTTTTGGGGGGTACCTCGGGCACATCGTCCTCTGGCTCCTGCTTGAAGCGCCGGAGAGGCTTGGTGGCCAGAGGCATCCGGTCCTCAGCGTTCTTCCAGGACCTCCGCTGCAGCACGGGCACAGAGCAGGGAGCCCTGGGTCAGCGGGCGGTGTCGCCCCCACCCCCACAGACGACAGCGGCCGGGACAGGGAGGGGCATGATACCTTTTTCCGGAAAAGCTTGTCTTCCTTGCCAGGCTTTAGCTGTTGTGAGAGGAAAGCACACAGAGCCTGCTCCAGGCATCAGCAGCGCAGGCCCCATTCCCCCCAGCCCACCAAGAGTGCAGTCTGCAGGGGCTGGAGGGAAACCACCAGGTGCCAGCTCTTCCTCCCCATCTGACCAGCAGCCGCGACCGCTGCCCGCTGATCCCAATGGGGAAGCCCGAGAGGGAGGAGGATGCGCGGCCGTGGGGTCCCACCCATGACTCCCACCAGGCAGACCGGCAGCTGCAGGCGCAGGCACCTCAGCCCAGCCGCCCGGCCAGTGGGACAGTGGGAAGGGAGCGGTTCCAGGCGCCGCCTTGTGGCCAGCGGTGGCAAGGCCGGGGGCGGAACCGGCTACTGGGGCTGGCGGGGCGGCGAGCGGGGCGCGGGAGCACCTGCTGCTGGAAGTAAGTGAGGCTGGATCTCCACCAGGGGCTGAGGCTGCTGCCTAGAGGGGGCCTTGGCGAGAGGTGAGAGGACCCGGGGGACGTTTGAAGCGTCGAGGCCTAGAGGGGTGGGAAGAGGAGTGACTCGCCAGGGTTCCCTCTGCTCTGGGGCTGGCTTTCAGGACGGGTACCCCGCCTGCCCGCCCTGCCCCCCCAGCCCGTACCCGCTTGCGGGCGCTCAGCTCCTGGGGCTTTTCGTATTTCCGCTTCCTCCTCAGGTGCACGTCGTCCGACTTGCGGCGTAGGATGCTGTCGGCTGGCACCTTCTTGGGGTGCTCGTCTGACCTGCGCCTGGGCGCCTCCTCACACTCGCTCCTGCGCTTGGCTGGTTCTGGCCCCTCCTTGTTGTCCCGGTTCATCTTCTGCTCCTTGAGCAGGGAGCCGGGCAGGTTGGAGGCGTACTTAAAGCCAGGGCCACGCTTTTGCTTGTAGGCCAAAAAGGGAGAAGAAACAACCCAACTGTATACCTTTGGCCTTGCCCGCCGCCCCCACTGCACCCCGCCAGGCCGGTCTGGGCACGGCCGGCCCGCCCGTCTGCCCGTCTGCCGGGCTCCTGGCCGCACTCACTTTCCCGGTCTTGCCGGCGTGGTTGCACTTGGGACACTCCCAGCAGTTTGGAAGCTCGTCGTTGACCACACCCTCTGACTCCTTGATCTGGAAGGACGGGTCCTGGACTCAGCGCGGGGCAGGCAGGGGTGCCAGGCTGGGCCCCAGGGCACAGGGTCCCCAAAGCCATATCCATCCCATTCCCAGCCAAAAGAAAACCACTGCTGCACAGGGGTGTGGAGAAGCAAAGCTCAGTCCAATGCTGGGTCTTGCTGCTGGAGCTAAGCAGGCCCACCTCCCCAGCCGGGAGGACTTCGTGAGGGATCCAGGAAAGTGGCCAGCTCAGGGCCTGGCACACAGCAGGGACCCTGCTTGATCCCTGTCATCTGCATAGGCGGGGTGGCTGCAATGGGAAGGCTGACTCCTCAGGCCAAGTCTCGCATGCAGCAGCCCTTCAGAGGGGTGAGGCTGTTTGTGGGTGGCCAGGGTAGGAAAGCAAGGCTCAGATCCACCACCCCGCTGCAGGGGAGCCACTGACCCCGTAAACTCAGGGCTGGAAATGTGCTGGCCCACAGTGGCCTATTCCTTTCCAGAGGAAGCCTGCTGTGGAAGCTAGGCAGGCACAGAGGTCACACAGGGCAGCCCAGCCCCAGGTACCCCAAAGGGACGGGGTCCTGGTGAAGAGGCATGGGACGGCAACCACTTGTGTCATCTGGGACCCAATCTCCCTGGCCCAGGCCCTCTTCCTCTGGAAGCCAGCAGGCAGGACTCCATCAAGTAGCCGCACTGGGGCTCTGCCCAGCACATGCCTGTGTGCTCCACCTTGAAGTGCCAGGAATTGTGGCTCTGAGGTACTGGAGGACGGTGGCAGTGGGTTCAGTCTCTCAGGGACTTTAGCTACTCTGAGCCCATCATGCGAAACAGAACCCCAGACTCTGTTTTGTAAGAATCCAGCAAGCTGCGCCATGCCACCCGCACCTGCCCACAGTCTGCAGGGCAGGGGTCTAGCGCCAGGTCAGCACAACCAGGGGCCCAGGGCCCAGCTTGCTCACCTTAAGGCATCCGGGGTGGATGATCTCATTGCAGATAGAGCACTCCATGAGCATGAGGTTGAACTTGCCCTCCTCCTCCTCCACTGTGTCCTCTTTCCCCGCCTCGCCACACACGAGGCACACGGCAGTGTGGGGAAGCACTGGCTGGGGAGCCAGGAGACACATGAGTCAGTGGGAGAGGGGGTTAGCTGCGGGCGCATGTCTGGGGACCAGCCCAGGGACACTAAGCTGCTTTCCTGGGCCCCCAGGCAATATCGCAAATGGCCCAGCACATTTACCTGTTCATTCATACTATTATGGAGTTGTGATAGCTGGGAACATGGCTACATCCCCTACCACCCTGATGAGCTCCTCTTTTGGTGGAGGGAGGAACAGAAGGTTGGATAACAGGTCAGTGGGGATTTCAGGCCAGGGGAGGCCAGGGCCAGCAGTGGGTGCGAGGGGCCACTGGAAAAGACCTGAAGGAGGTGAAGCAGGAGGTCGGCCTAGACATGGAGGCTGGGACTGGGCCTCCCTCGGACAGGCTTTCTCTGGAGCAGGAGGAGGCCACAGTCTGCCCGCCGTGCAACTGATGCTGGCCTTGATGGTGCACAAGCATGGGCTGCTCGTCACCTCCAGGTGACGGGCGGCTGTCCTGGCTGTGGTGGGCTGCTCAGAGCCCCCCACACTGCAAAGCTCCTGGGTTCCCCTGAAGAACGCCTGGGGTATTAATTTCACAGAAGCCCCACCCCCGTGCACACCCTCACCCACAGGAAGCTGGCGCACGGCACTGCCACAGAGGTAAGCACATGCAGCCCACGCGGCCTCCTCGGGTCACTTGAAAGAACAACTGAGAAAACCAGTTGGCACTGGCATATTTTTTTTGAAGACAAAAGAAACAAGCCTATCGTTTCCAGAAAAATAACTGACAGTACTGGGTGGAAAAGACAAAACTATCTGAAGACAGACAATGAGAAGTCTGGGAAACTGACATGAGCCACCCGGAACTAGAAGACTTAGCAAAGCTCTTCTGATTGGTTGGTGAATAAAATATGGGGTTTTATATGGATATCCACATCGGACTGGGACATACGTATATATAGTACAAGGCGCCAGTACTGGGCAGAGTTCCTCAGTGAGCCGACGTTTTCCAAATGACTGATGCACCATGTCACCTGCACAACCGGAAGGTGAGACCAGTGGCTTCTCACCTCAGTGGGAGGAAAAGTTCATCGGCAGGTTTTTTTTTTTTTTTTTGGTCTTTTTCCTTTTTTATCGTTACCAGGGATCGAACTCACGAGTGCCTGCTTACAAGGCAGGTGCTTATGCCACTGAGCTAAATCCCCAGCCCCTTCACTGGCAGTTTTGGACCCTGCCTTCAAGTGGCCCGTAAGGAGCTGCCACCTGCTGAGTTCCGGAGGCTACGTGTCTACACCCACGCTCAGGCTCCCCTGTCCTGTGACCTAGCGTGACAGACAGGGAGACCTGGGTCCTGTCTAATGAATGAGATGCGAGACATCCACAAAGATGTAAAACTGCCGTTCTTCCATTTTGTTTTACAATTGGATCCTATAAAAATGTTTTAACTTCATTTAAAAAAATGTGATGGGTTTCTTATTCTCAAAATGAATTTAAAGTATTTTAAAAATTCATTTTAAATACAGTAAATAAGTAAATAACCTACATAAACAAGGGCATTTCGGTGTCCTCATGATTTTAAGACCCTAAAGCGGTCTCAAGACCACCCAGCCTGAAGGTGGACCCAGGACAGAGGCCAGATCAGGCCTGTGGCCACCTGGCCCTGACCAGTACAGAACGCAGAGGAGGTGCAGGCGCAGGCTTCTCTAAACGGCCTCAAAGGAGCTTCAGCCAGGCTGGGCTATGCTGCACCATAAGGGGAAAACCTGTAACGTGCACAGACACCGAACCTGCACCCAACTCTGAAAGTGAGGCAGCCTCCATTGCTCCACAAACACTGACAGCATCTGCTAGGGCCCAGTGTGAGGTGCTGAGGGTATGCAAGTGAGGAGGCAGCTGTCTCCAAGAAGAAGCAACTCCCTGAAATCCAAGAACACAAAAATGTTGTGTTCACGAGTCACCTGAAGCAGCGAGGCTGAGGCGGGGAGGCAAAGGCCCTCCAGGTGGGCGCGGCCTGAGAGGTCTGGGCAGGACAAGCCCCCTGGCAAGAGAAGTGCAGGGCTCAGGACACAACCCTCTGGGACGGGTAGGGGCACAGGTACTGCAGTGGTGCTGAGGGAAGGGGTAGGTGGGGCTGGGCATCAGGGGCCCTCAGGGTGGATACGGAAGGCTGGAAAGGGACCCAGAAGGACAGGCTGGCTCAGGATGCCTGAGGGGTGGCAGCAGGCAGGAGACAGGCTTACTCCTGCCAACACAGCCCGTGCGCCAGGCACCAGAGCTGCACACGTAAGGTGGCCAATCACAAAGGTTTCCTGTAACTGGGCCCGTGCACCAGGGGAGAAGACGAAAGATAGTTGTGGGTTTTAGGTGACGCTTGTCCAAACCAACAATTTCCAGACAAGCTCCTTAAGACACTGTTCAATCCCAAGGGTCACACAGGCCCTCTTCTCTAGAAAAATGCATACAAGCCGGCCAATCACCTGTACTGAATCTTGGGGGTTAATTATGAAGAGCTTCTGTAACCTCACTACAACAAAACACCATAAAAACCCAATTAAAAATGAGCCAAGGAGTTGAAACAGACATTTCTCAAAGAAGATATACTAATGACCAACAGACACATGAGACAGTGCTCAGTATCACTAATCATTAGAGAAACTCAAGTCAAAAGCACAGCATGGTGATGCTGCACACAGACCAGGGCAGCCACTGTTAGAAACAAACAGCATCATGGGATTTTGAGACCCTGTCTCAGAAAAACCAAAAAAGAGCCTGGGATTTAGCTCAGCGGCATAAGCATCTACCTTGCAAGCGTGCACTTGTGAGTTTATGCCCCAGTACCAACTCCCCCCCACCACCACCAAAAAAAGAAAAGAAACTCATTTGGGTGCCCAAATGGGTGCACACTGGCACTTGCCCGTAACCCCAAGCGCAGTGGGAGGGTGACCAAAACAACAAACAGACAGTCCCAGCCAAACCTAGGCTTTGTGAGACCCTGTCTCAAAATGGAAAAAGGGGCAGGGAATCTAACTCAATGCAAAGGCCCTGGGCTCAATTCCTAGTGCCAAGGGAAAAAAAAATCTGTCACCAGTTCCAAGGATAAAGCATGATGATGTTACAACAGTTGCAAAAAAACCAAACAGGACGTGACTCCATTTATATGAGGTGCCTAGTTAGCTTTTAGAGACTGAAAGTGATCTGGTTGCCAGGGGCTGCGCAGAAGGAAAAGGGGAGTAGTCGTTCAATAGGTGCAGTTTTACTTTGTTTGAGATGGGTTTCAATATGTAGTTCAGGCTGGCCCTAGACTCACTGTGTAGCCCAGGCTAGCAGCAATCTTCCTGCCTCAGCCTCCTAGTGTTGGGATTGCAGGTGTGCACTACCATACCTGGCCAGAGTTTTGGTTTTGCAAGAAGCATGTTTTAGCAACCAGCTGCACAGCTACATGCATGTATACTTAGGTCTGCTGCACTACAAACCTGAAAATGGTTAAGACAGTGAAACTCACAGGAGGTGTTGTGTTCTCTAAAATCACAGGCTAAGCAGGCATGCGTGCCGGGACAAAGGGAAGGTGCCCCTGGGCTTGGAGGGCATTGGCTGGGTCGGGAAGAAGCGCTCACCTTGTGCCAGGCTGGGGCTGCAGGAGCTCGCCAGGGCCCAGGAACCCTGTGTCTCCCGCTGAGCCAGCTTTTCCAGGAGGGCTGGGATGCCGCTGGGCCCCAGGAGCAGGAATAGCAGTGCGTGTGTGGGTGAGCGGAGGGCAGGGTGTCCCCGAGGCAAGACCGGGGCCTGCAGAAGTGGTGACACAGCTCTGGAGACCCCTGGCCTGGCTGTCAGGAAGGTCACTGACCTTTCAGCCAGACTTCTGACCAGGGGAAGGTGGAGGCAGGGAAGGGACCCAGCATCCTCATGACATGGACGGTAAATGTCGGCCTTGGGGTCCAACACAGCTCAGACCTCCCTGACATCTTTAACGAGAGGACTTCAAAGCACCTGGTCATCACCGGAAGGGAGGTGCCAAGGGACGGCAGCCCTGGAGGCCGACCTGAACCCACCCCTCCCAGCCAAGCAAGCAGGGCCACAGCCAAACAGGCACACTCACCGCGATGCACTGTCGCATGATGCAGCTCTGCTTCATCCGCCCGGGGCCTCCGAACTTCTTCATGTCCTTGCAGAAGTGGCACTCCCCACACTCTGTCCGCAGGCACGCCTCGCACTTGCGGCATCGCGTCCGGCGCCGGCGAGCTCCTGCCGTCGTGCGATTGGTGGCTAATTTCACTGCGGAGGCCGGGCCCGGCTTGCCCTTGGGCCGACCCACAGCCCGGTTCTGCAGAGAAGGGGACAGTGGTGAGCTGGGCGGCAGTGGGGGCAACTCCTGGGTGTTCCAGACTCAGCTGTGTGTCCCCAAGCGATGGCGAGGCCCTAAGCCCTGGGCTCTCCAGAGGTGGTGAAGCTGGGGGAGGTCACTCGGCTGGACCTTAGTTGGCACCGAGGTCCTTCTGAATGAGGACTACCAGAATGCAGACAGACAGAAAAGGCCATGGGGGAGCCCTGCCCACAGGCCCTCCGTTCTCTGAGGGCAGAAACAGACTCAGGCCTAGGAGCTCAGCTCCTGGGGAGCCTAAGGAGTGTGTCATAGATTGAGGGTCTGTGAGGCCAGAGGCGGTCATGTTCCAACCCTAAAGGACACTTCTGACCTGAACCTCACTGGGAGCTGAGCCGCTCTAGGAAATGACAGAGCAAATGACAGCTAATGTCTAGAATAAAGCCCTTTTTCCAAAGAGCTCATCTCCTGTCCTCTCTACCTGCTGGCCACATCAACTAGAGAAGCTTTCACTGTGTTCACCAGCAGCCGGCTTCTTGGGAAAAATCCGAATACCCAAACCCAGGACCCTAAAGAGCAACGCTCGAGAAAACCAACAAGTGACAGACAGGGGCAGCTCTTAAGGACCAGCCAGAAAGCCCTGTGACCGTGGACTACAAACAGGTTGACACAAGGACCAACGAGCCATCTCGCATGGCCATGAGGCTGCCGTCCTAATGTCTTCTGTGTGACACCAACTCCAAACTCTCTCCTTGGCCTAACAAAAACAGGCATGTGGGGCTGGGGATTTAGCTCAGCAGCATAAGCGCCTGCCTTGCAAGCAGGCAGTCGTGAGTTTGATCCCCGGTACCGATAAAAAGGAAAAAGAAAAAAAAAACAAAGAAAAGAAACAAAAACAGGCATGTGCAAACCAAGTCCGCCTGCTGATCTCAGCCCATTGTGAAGTTTTTAAAAACCTGAACCCTCGTTCACTGCTCAGGCCTCTAGCCTGGGGGATTCCAGCACCTCTTCTCCACGAGCGGCTGGAAGCATCTCCCTTACAGGAAAGATTACTCACAGGGTCACTGTCCCATCAGTCTTTACTGATCCAGGTTCTACCTTACAGAAAGGTCATGGCAGGAACTTTCTTGGTCTCTCATCTCTGAAATACTGGACTTTAAATTACTTAGGTTAATCAATGAACGGACACTTTGCATTGATGGAGTAGAAGACAAAATGACTACACTTCTCAAAGTGATCTACACATCCCAATATCGTGTCTCTGTCACAACCCTAACTAGTGTTCAGTAGAAATTGATGCTATTGATCCCAAACTCAGATGAAATTGCTAAAGCAATCTTTTTTTTTTTTTTTTTTTTTTAAAAGGAACAAAAAAGTCAAGGCCTGGTGCAGGCCAGGCCATGGGCACTGCCACCGCCAAAAAAAAGAACAAAGTGAAAGACTCAAACTTCCTGATTTCAAAACTTACTACAAAGGCAGACGTGGTACTGACATAAGAGAAACACACAGATCAATGAGATAGAGCCGAGAGCCCAGAAATAAACTTATTTTGACTAACTGAATTACAGTAAGGGTACCGTGACAGTCCAGCAGGAAAAGGAACGGTCTTTTCAATGCACAGTGCAAGACAAGTGAATAGCCATAGGTAAAAGAATGTAGGGCTGGGGACTTAGCTAGGCAGCACAGTGCCAGCACAAGGGCGTGAGTTAGATTCTTGGTACAGGAAAAAAAAAGGAGAAGGAAGAATGTGGATCCCCTAATTTATACCATTTAAAAAAAAAAAAGCAGCAAATTCAAAAACCAACCAAGGACTGAAACACTGGAGAGGCTGAAGCAGGAGGATTGGTGTGAGTTTGAGGCCAGCCTAGGCTACAGAGTGAGACCCTGTCTCAACGGAAAAAAGAAAAGACAAGAAAAAAAGACAAACTAGATTTTGTCAAAAATTAAAACCTTTAGGGTTTTTTTTTTGAGACAAGGTTTTGAGGTGTAGCCTAGGGTGGCCCTGAACCCCAGCCTCCTGAGCGCTGGACTCAGGTATGTTCCGCCACACCCAGCTTAAAGGATTTGGCCAGGCCAGGCATTTAACTCAGCAGCACAAGCACCTGCCTGGCATGCACAAAGGCATGAGTTTCAACCCCAGTACCAAAAGGGGGGTGGGTGGGTGCTGGGGATTTAGCTCAGCGGCATAAACACCTGCCTTATAAGCACAGTTGTGAATTCGATTCCCGGCACCAAAAAGAGAGACAGATTTGGCCAGGGATGGTGACACATGCCAGTGAGCCCAGAGACCACTATGAATTTGAGGCAACCCTGGGTAACCCAGTGAGTTCAAGGCCAGTCTGAACTACAGAACAAGACTCTGTCTCAATCAATCAATCCATTTTGGAAAGGAAAGAAAGTTTTTGGACTTCAAGGACACCGGCTTTTTAAAAAAAAACCTACAGACTGGAAGAACAAATTTGCAAATCATCTATCTAGTAAAGGACTAGGACCTATAGGAAACAAAACAAAACAAAACAAAACAAAACCTCTTTGCTCCACAATAGACAAAAATGCCCATTTAAAAATGGGGAAGGTGGAGCTGGAGGTTTAGCTCAGCGGCATAAGCACCTGCCTTGAAAGCAGGCAGTCGTGAGTTCGATCCCCAGTACCAATAAAAAGGAAAAAGAAAAAAAAAATTGGAAAAGAATTTAAATATTTCTCCACAAGATCTGGTCAAAAACCACACAAAATGATGCTTAATATCAACAGCTAAGAGAATATGCAAGCTGCAGGTAGACTAATTCATTACCCCTCGTTTACACTTCACCACCCAGGTCCCTGCTATGAATCACACAGCAGACTCAATGCAGGGCCAGGGCTCGCAAGGAGGGGGAGTGCCCTGCTCTCAAAGGCCCCGCAGTCTGGGGTGAGGAAGACCTGTGCCACACAGACAGCACGTTACCACCCTGGTGAAGCGCCAGTGACTCTTTGCGATACTCACATCACAACCTGCAAGACATGAATTATTACTACCTGTTTACCAATGAAGAAAGGGGGCAACGCAGGTAAGTCATTTGGCCAACGTCACATGCCAAGTGCACATGATGGAACAGGAGCCCCACAGGACCTCTGAAGCCTGGACCCCTGCATGCTGCCCTGGGAGAAAAGGAGGCTTAGAGGAGACAGGAAACAACAGTTGTATGGTGGCCACCTGCGTGGCACTAAGGAACCCAGCGATACTGAAAGATACACATCTGGAAATCAGTGACCCAACAGTGTTAAAGCTGGTTAACCCAGCAACCTCCAGGGCACTGAGGAGAGACATGGTTTCAGCAGCACCTGTGGGCCCAGAGAGCCTTGGAGTGAAGATGGAGCGTCCTTCACCAGAAAGGCAGGCAAAGCAGCAGGAAGCCAAGAGGCTGAAGAAGGCAATGGTCAAGGGTTTCCAGTGTCAAGAGAAGTCAAGCAAGCAAAGCAACCCAACTTTAGCTAAACGACTTTATGATTCAGAGGGTTCTATGTTTCCGGTCAAACTACCTCCAACCACAGGACTTAGGGACCCTGCCTCCCTCCTGCAGCAGCCAGCAGCCTGAGCACGCACCTGCAGACTCCAGGGAAGGCTCTGGTTTTTTTACACACGGAGGGGAAGGAGCCACAGAAGAAAACCACAAGAGACCAGAACACCCAGGGACAGGGAACCTCTGGAGAATCCCGAGAGAGCTAAGAAACGAAGGTCCTCCAGAAAAATTCACACAGGTACAAAGTTTCCTAATTTTGTATATATTCTGGGGAAGGTTCAGAACCCCTGTCTTAAAATTACACCACTTATGAAGCTATAATGGAGAGACGGGAAGGGATGAAAAAGAATTAAGATCGGGGGGCCAGGGATATAGCTTAGCAGCACAGCACCTGCCTGGCAAGCATGAGGTCCTGAGTCTGGTTCCTGATACAAAAAAATAATAATGATTAAGATACATTAAGTACTCATACCAACTCTATACATTGAATGGAAGCATTACGTACATATGTACTGCAAATGAAAAAAAATTTTAAATACATTTTTTAAAAAAGCTATAATGGGTAAAACAATATATGATCACACAAACATAAATTTCTGGGTTTTGGTTTTGCTTTTTTTGAGACAGCGTTTCACTGTGTAGTTCAGACTGGCCCTGAACAAACTATGTACCCCAAAATGGCCTTGAACCCACGGTGATCCTCCTGCCTCGTCCTCCCAAAGGCTGGGATTACAGGCGTGCACCATCATGCCCAGCTTCTGAGAGATTTTCTTCTCTAGAATTCCCTAATTATAATTTTCAACCATTTGTACTCATTTTATTAAGGAAAGAAAAGGAATAAAGTTTCACTTAAGGGGTTAAAAATGTCTTCTGAGAGCCCTTCTTTAAGGGGTACCTACTCACACGAACTCAGCTGCCGACACGCTGACAGTTCTGTACTGGAGAAGGCTCTGCCAGGGTGTTCCCTGCCAACCTGGCTCAGTGGCCACCGTGCCCTGGCTGTCCCCCAGGTGGCGACACTTGGGAAACCCAGGGGCCTAGGAAAGGCTCCTGATACTGCTCTGACTGAACACCAGTCTCTAGTGGGGGCAGGACAGTGAACCTGACCGTGATGAGGAGGGGAAGGGGAGGGCTAGGCCCAGGGATGGGAACTTTCTTCCAGCTGCCACACCCACACTCCTGGACTCATGCCACCTTAGGGGGCACCTTCTCCTTGTGCCAAACCCATGGAGCCAGCAGGGTGGGTAGGAGGGAGATATCAACAAGAGCCGAGTCTAGCTCTACAGTCACAGACACCTTCAAGGTCTGCAGGGGAAGCCACTCCTCCCGGGCAGTGAATCCCTGGGCTGAGAAAACAGCTGAGTAAACCGGGGTGGGGGTGGGGGGAGGAACCACAGCCGGGAGCATCCTCTGGAGCGATGGCACCTAAGGTGGCACCATCTCTGTTGGGACCAGAGAACAGCAGCCCAGCGCTCTGGCTTAGACATCGTCCTCCTCGATAAA